GAAGCCGCTGAGGAGGAGGAGGCAGAGGAGGAGGAAGAAGCCGCTGATGACGAAGAGGAACAAGCTGATGACGAAGAAGAGGAAACAGAGGAGGGGGAAGCAACTGAAGTGGAGGATGTGGCGGAAGAGGAGGAGGTTGATGCTGAAGACGATGAAGGTAAAGCTGCACTTTGAATAAATTCTGATTATTTTAGAGAAAATGATTCAAACAAATGAAACATTAACACAATCCCAAAATAAGAGGGAAGGTTTTGGCAGGACTCTGGATGTGGGACAGCCCTCTGACACTGCTCGACTAGCCGCTGCTACTTTGGGAACGCTGTCACACATATCAGTCCTAAAATAAACGGGCTTATCTGTTCTGTAACTGGCACCAGGCAGCACCTAAACTTCTCATTGTTCAGCTGACGGTGCCTTTGAGAACCCGAGACACACACTACCATAAAAGTCTCAAAGTCCCAAACCACACGCAGATAGAAGTAATCTTCAAGTCAGACTTAGATACTGAAGAAAATAGTGAAACCTGAAAAGCAGGTTTTGCTTTCACCCCTCAAGTCCTTTATATTTAGAAGAATTACATATTGGCCCATAGTCTGGTTTTGTCAGGTTTGCTGCTGATGACCTGTTAGTAGATGAGAGCTGAGTTTGAAAAATGGGTGTGCTCTGAACTATATTTACTGAGTAAAAAGAAGTCAGAGAAAGGAAAATGGCCTCCACTAGTTGTTCCACTGAAAGAAATGGAGTGATTCATGGATTAATCTACATGAGTAAAAGTTCAAAATAAAGTTCAACAAGCTTTCGGAAATCTGATTTCATATTTTATCATTAATGTTTTGTTTTTACGCTAATCTTGCTTGTAGGTTAAAAAAAATAAAAAATAAAATAGAGAAAGAATGAATGGCTATGTCTAAAACATGTAAGTCAACAAAGGTAAACCTCAGTAATTTAGTGGAGGAGTTAAGGGGTGATGTTACCAGGCCTGACACGGAGTAGATAGAAAAAGTATCATTTGTTTTTTTATGTTGTTTCAGATGAAGTTGCAGACGCAAACGACGAGGAACAGACCGCTGATTCACAGCAATTCCACTCCGGCTCTTTGTGTAGTATTTGCTCCATATGTGAGGTAAAGTATTGAACTATTTGAATGTTCAGTGTCAAACAGAACAATTCATTAAAAAAACTGCATTTAACCATTTTCCTCATTTCTTCTTAGCAGGAAACAGAAGGGAAAGTCACTCAGCTTTCTGTGCTTATTGTCTCTTTCAGCATTGCTCCACAAACTGTAACAGTTGCCCCTGCGAGGAGGGAGATGAGTCAGAGCACTGCAAACATTGTGATGTAAGCAACGAGCAAAGTGTTAATGCAACAGGATTTATTTGAACAGAGGGCCTCCATTGTAATCATGTAATGTTTTCCAGAGCTGCTCATCCTGCTACATTTGCCCCATACTGTGCGACACAGTTTGCACACCAGGTAAAAAAGTGACAGCAAACACCCTCACTGAATTTGTCGTGTTGTTTGGTGAGGTTCGTCCTAATTTGTGTGTTCATTTTGTTTTCATTAAGGCGGACTGGTTGATGAGCTAACTGGATCCCTCTATCAGTAAGATTTATTCTGTCGTCACATCACACTATAACACCAGAAAAAGCACATATTTAAACATGATGGAATTATGGGTGTAATCCCTCCTTTGTTTTGCAGGACCATTGCCTCTCTACTGTGAACAGATTCAACTATTTTTATAAAGGAAAAAAAAAGCTGAGGATGCTTCTTGATTGGCCGATGCTGTCCAGCTGCTCTTTGCTCAGCAGCCTAACAACCAACAAGAGCTTGTCTCATCTTTTTAACTATGACTATGACTTATATAGTATTCTCTTCTGTGTTTGTAAAGAGAGCTGAAAGGACAGTTTGTAGGGTTTTTATTGTTTTTTAACTTTTAGTTTGAGTTTGTATGTTTTTGTCATTCTACAATGAGAGGAGTGAATGAACCAGGGAGGTGCAACTGCAGACTATCACAGGTAGTACTACAGTTTTAAAGAAATCTTAATTTAAAACTATGTAGATGTTATTAACAAATTATAATGTCTGAATAAATGTTGCCCTTTCTTTAAAAAAAATGAATACGTTTACTCAACACAAGCACACATGCGTCTCATACCTGCATCCCTTTTAGGTTCACAAAGAAAGATCCTGGTTTACTGGCTGAAAGTTGTGGCAACACTTCACTGTTTTTCTGTTATCCTTCACGAGTCATTTAGTTAGAAGTGCAAGTGAAACATTCAAAAAGAGTTACATACTCAAAAGAGTCATGAGGTACTCATATTGTATAATTCCAGCAATTGTTCCACCTTAGCAGTTGGAGAAGGGGCACAAGTTGTTGTTTGCAGCCTCTCCACTAGATGGCAGTATATCCTGTATTACTCACTTCAGCCCATGTTGAAAAAGACAGGAATACGTGAGGAGGTGCTCAGCTGGGAGGAAAAGACTGAATGTTTGTGATGTGTTGTAAGATGAATGTGGATGAGCTTTGGTGAACACAACTGAAGCCACAAGCAAACACACCCCTGGAGATTCTTAAATAACACTGCAGAGAGTTTTGTGTGGAGTGTTCAGGGGTCCTTAGACTGTGGGACTGGAAAAACACAAGGGGTTACTTTTAGCCTGATGTATTAGAAATGGTGGGAATATCTGTCCTATGCAAGTTTATGGTTAAATGTTGGTAATAAAACCTGTCTGTTATAGGGTTTAGCGCAAAGGGATTTGAAAAGTGTTTCCGAATATACAGTGCCTTGCAAAAGTATTCGTCCCCTTTGAACTTTTCGACCTTTTGCCACATTTCAGGCTTCAAACATAAAGATACAAAATTTATATTTTTTTTCGTGAAGAATCAGCAACAAGTGGAACACAATCATGAAGTGGATCGCAATTGATTGGATATTTCAAACGTTTTTAACAAATAAAAAACTGAAAACTTAGGCACACAAAATTATTCAGCCCCTTTACTTTCCGTGCAGCAATCTCTCTCCAGAAGTCAAGTGAGGATCTCTGAATGATCCAATGTTGACCTAAATGACTGTAATGATAAATAGAATCCACCTGTGTGGAATCAAGTTTCCGTATAAACGCACCTGCTCTGTGATGGTCTCAGAGGTCTGTTTAAAGCGCAGAGAGCGTCGTGAAGACCAAGGAACACACCAGGCAGGGCCGAGATACTGTTGGTTGGGGAGAATTTAAAGCTGGATTTGGAAACAAAAAGATTCCCCAAGCTTTAAACATCCCAAGGTGCACTGTGCAAGCGATAATGCTGAAACCATTTCTTGAAGATATCCATAAAAAATCTTGTTAAATGTTTGCCACAAGCCACCTGGGAGACAGACCAAACCTGTGGAAGAAGGTGCTCTGGTCAGATGAGACCAGAATCAAACTTGTAGGCCACAATGCAAAATGTTTGGCATAAAAGCAACACAGCTCATCACCCTGAACACACCATCCCCACTTGATGGGAAGATGGATGGAGCCAAATACAGGACCATTCTGGAATAAAACCTGTTGCGAGAGACTGGGATGGAGATTTATCTTACAACAAGACAATGATCCAAAACATGAAGCAAGATCTGCAATGGAATGGTTCACAAATAATCATGCCTGTCCAAGTTTTCAGTTTTTATTTGTTAAAGCTTGATATCAATTTTGTTCCACTAAGTGATTGTGTCCCACTTGTTGATTCTTCACAAATTACCATTTTACATCTTTGTTTGAAGCCTGAAATATGGCAAAAGTTGAAGGGGGCCGAATACTTTAGCAAGGCACTGTACCACTTGATCATGACTTAGCCTGATATGAACACATTTTTGCAGTGGGTTTTTTCTTTTTATAAAAAGATCCCTTTAAAAGTCCCACAATATTCTGCCGCCTACATTTTATGCTAGTTTTTTCCCCACAACTCTTAACGCGCCACAAAAAATGGTGTTTCCCCAGCTAAGTTTGAGCAGAGCCGCTGTACAGTAAGTGACAAGTGGTGAGACCTGACCCCATTTCCTGTCAGTTTACCTTAATCTACCTCAGCAATGTCATAGCAACAACTGCCTGTTTGCAGGATCAATAAACCTTTAACAGGAAGGAACTTTAGCAGAGCTGGACTTTAGTCGTCGGGTAACCTCTTGTCTCTTGGAACAAAAGTCAGGAAATACTATCTTAATAAATGACAGTTTCCATGTAAAGAAAGATAAGGCTTTCTGAGAAGGGATTGATTATGTTTTTGCAACAGAATTTATGTTTCCTGATGAGCTTCACTCTTTTTCCTCCTCTGCATCTTCACCGAGCTTTTTGCTACTGATCACATTTTGCTTTTAAATTAAACATAAAAGCAAATCAGACTGGGAAAAAAATCATCTAAATGCTACACGTATCTTTCTACAGTTTGGCATTCTTCTTTTCTTTAATTTGTTTTGCCTGTTCTTTTCTATCGGACAAACACAACCAGTATTTTGGAGTCCGGTCAATGTGCTCATGTGGGTGTGAGGACAGGGAGGAACAAAAGAGCCATGCAATGAAGCCATGATGTGTAAATAAACACAGAAACATTTGCATGAAGCAGAAAGTGGAGCAATGACATATAGTCTTTAAATGAGGAAACGTTCATCTTTTCTTGAAGTGTCATGCCCATACAAATGTCAGCATATAATACATCCTCTATTGTTTTCAGATGAGTCAAAATCAAGTCTGAATGTTTCCGAGCTGAAGTCACTCCAGAGATAAAAATTTCACATGATGTGTTCAGTTCCTGAATGCCTCATAAATCTTGATGAAGTGTTGTGATCCTAAACACACTCAGAGTCTTTCTTATTATATTTATCAGTTCTTGTCAGTGGGGAAGGCAAGTTTAATTCTCCCTCATGTCTCCATACTGAGGTCCTCTTGAAATAGCAGCAGTCTCCCTCACAATTTGAAAACTTCTAGTTTGAGGAAAGTCTTTAATCCTGAATAGCTGCTTGTGAACGAAGTGACTAGCTGATACCATCAAAGAATCAAACCGCCCACCAGAAAAGGCTACCAAAGTCCCATTACTAACCCATCTACACGCTTTCTTATATTTCAATTCTAGAGTGTGAGAACAGGACTGGTGGATGAGGAAGAGGAAGGTCTGTCACAGTGCCTGCTCTAAAACTCTAACACAATGGAATAAGTGTCATTTTACGTTTTCATTCCTTGGAGTTCTTTGTTTAAACTGTATGGTGGGCTGTAAACCACTCAAAGAAATCAATTGCACAAGCTAGGATTTCTTTTGACCCTGAAAGAAGTTTTTAGTTGAGTATCTAAACTGTAATCAAGCGGGAAACAGCATGCTGTCTCCCATTACAAAAGCTTAAAGCCAGCCTTCTCACAATAGCTTATATAATCATATTGGGTATCGGTTTACAAAACCACCTACAACTTGAAAGATTGCGGTGACCACGTTTAAAAGTTATATATTGTTTTGGAACACAATACTCTGGTATCTATGCCCATTTTCTAGATTGTGCTTTTGTGCATTGATGATAAGGTTATTCTCCCTGCAGAAAAGGACGTATTGGGGACAACATCTTCCATTCTCAGCATACAGAAATTTGATAATCAAATTTCAGGTTTCATAAAAAATGTAGTCTGTGACTTAAGCTGGTGTTGTTGTTTTTTTTATGATGGTTGTCCCATTTGACATCAAATACTTGGAATTTGAAATGATTGTGGTTTTATTTAATTTTTTTATGAGTGCAGGTTGTATCACTGTCATGGTTAAATCATCCAAACAGTTTTGCTGGTACTGTTTTCACATTGTAGTAACAGTACTACAGGGAAATGTGCTAACTTTTACTCGGTATATGTTGTTGACATGAAAACTATGCCAGAGGCAGTTTCCAGTCATTATTGGTGTTACTATCAGCTAAACCAGCAGTTAAATCAAAAAGCAATCACAATCTAATAGGTCCGAACAGACCCTGACAAACAAAGAGGTGGTTGTGATGCCATTAGAAGATGATATCATGTTTTGATATGAGCTTAATTGGACTAAAAAACCCTAATGCTTTGAATATATATGTATATATTTAGGCAGCATTGCTGTGTGTCTCCTCCATCCTGCTTCAGTGTTGTAAACACACTGGGGGGGCCCCTCCCAGTACTTAAACACTGTGTCTATAAAATGATCTTGAAACGAACTGGGGCACCTTTTTAAACGCTTGGCTCATTGATGAACTTTTGTGGAACTCGAAGATCATTTTAAATTTTTTGGGAGTAGCAATATACCATTCTGGAAGCCTTAAGCATTTGAGAGCCTGGATATTAAGGTCAGTATTACAGCAAGAAGACTCGCTGTTTGACTCTCCTGAAGTAGAATCCAGATATTACGTATACGCCAAGAGTTCCACTGAGAAGAATACAGGCTTCTTTTTCAAAGTGCTGTATCTTAGACACGATTTGTGGTAAATCCTATTTTAGGGTTTGGATTAACAGAACTTTTTCTCCACTCAGAGATGTATCTCCCAACTGTAGTGCTGTGTCTCAGTTTGGGGGCTTTAACAACAGTTGGTGAGTATTAATTTGTTCATTTTTTATCTGTTGGCCCCATTCGTATTTGCTCTCTTCTATAAATGTAGGTGCATTGTAAAATGGCAAGAACTAGAAAAAAATGTTCTTCCCCTAAATTGGATTTAAGTCTTACAATATTTAGATTTTATTTAGGGTGCCATGAGCAGCATTCACATTTCATGGTTGTCACATTTCTCTTTCAGCTGCTACAAGTGACTGGTGCTACAATAAATGTGGTAAATAAGAAGATACGTCTACTGATGTACCTTAATTATTCCTTTGGTACCTAATGAAGATTTGAGAAACACCATCTGTGTTTGGCATTAATTAGTAATACTCAGTGTATTTCATTTGTCCACAGAGCTTGGGCCGTCTGTCTGGGAGTACCTTTCAGATAATGATTGTGGAAAAGACAGACAGTCCCCAATAGATATCAGAACAAGCACTGTTATGACAGACCATGGATTGAAAAGCTTTAAGTTGGATAAATTCGATTCTAAGAAAGTCATCCAGAACATGACAAATACTGGGCATACAGGTATACAGACAGGCTGGAGCCTTTGGGCATTCATGTAATTTTAAAACATGTTACACACTCCTCCCACTCTCTCTTTGTGTTTCACAGTGAAATGCAACCTGAAAGAAAATGAAGTTGAAGTGAGTGGAGGTGGACTCAATGGTACATACTCAGCAGTTCAGTTTCACTTCCACTGGGGTGATTCACATCACCATCCAGGTTCAGAACACATGATAAATGGGAAAAGGTATCCCATGGAGGTACAGTATCTCGGCATGACTGGACATTACCCCATTTGTCTCAAAGCATTTCTTAATTTACATAACTTGCTTTGCCTAATCTTTTCATGTATCTATTGTAGATGCACCTTGTCAGTCTGAAGAAAGGTCTTTCCCAAGAGGATGCCAAAAATCATCCAGACGGCATCGCTGTTCTTGGGTTTTTCATTGACGAGGCACAACTCTTTCCAACTATCGTTCAAATATTGTGTTTATGCAGAGATCATGCCCGGTTGAATATTGAATATATATTCACTTCATTTGTTCAGTGTTTTACGATCTTCTCTTTAAAGGTACCGGAAAACAAAACTACATGGGAAGAGTTCACATCTCACCTGATGAAAATCCCAGGTTGTTCTTTTCTTATATCAAGTTACTCACCATTTAAAAAACAATGGGCAATTATTGACCTGGCAGGGAACTAGAGTAGAATATATATGCTTTTTTATTTTATGCGGTTTTCAAGTCAAAATCTTATTGCCTCTTTTAATTTCTTTTCTGTTGAAACGAGAAAAGCTTAACCCCAGAACGTGTATTGAGGCAAAGTGCAAGGTATTGCTTCAGGGAGTTCAAGTCTTAATAACTCAAACGTGGTTGGACAGCATTGTGTAGAATTTAGAGTGCTCTTTGTTTGCTTTTCTTACAAACAAGGCACAAACTTTTATCATGTAGACAAACATGACCCCCCTCCCCGAAAAACTACAAAATTTTGTTTGATTGCTGCCTTTTAACATTGTTATTTGACATCTCACAGAAGTAAATGATACGGTTGGATTTGAAAAAGAATTCTCCATCGATGAACTGATTGGAGAAGTGGACCTTTCAAAGTTCTATCGATACAATGGCTCCCTGACCACCCCGGACTGCAACGAGGCCGTTGTATGGACTGTCTTCCAAGAGCCAATCCTCATCGGCAAAGATCTGGTGAGTCTTTTCATAATAAGTGGCGAAGGACATGTTTAGTCCAAACAGAGAATCACACTGGGCTGCTCACATGTCAGCCTGCTGTTGAAAGTCATTTCCGTCATTAGTGAGTTTAAGCTGAGAGACACATCTGTACATCAGCTCAGAGGCCAGCACATGACCTGTCACTGAATCGTGACATCTATAATACAGGCAGGTTGGCGTCATCAGATTGTTTCAAAGTCAGACTTGTTGACTGCATCATGAACTGAAGAAATGACAAGACACATGATACAGTGGAAGAAAAATGCTATGGCATCGTCTGAATGTGTCTGATTGACAATCTCACTCTTCATCTCATCTACCTGTCAGAGTTTGATTAATGAGCTAGACATTCTTCCTTTTTTGCGGTTGTGTCCTGTAGCTGAACCAGCGCACACCTACATTTTGCACCTGTCTTGCTAAAAAAAAGTGCACGTTTGGGGAATGTAGTCAATAATGTAGCCAAAGGACAAGTGCACACATTGTGGTATATATTTTCCTGGATATGAAAGATCTAGTCAATTTAGTCCTGTTTTAGAAATCTAAAAACATCAAGGCTGCTTATGACCTTTTTGTTGTCACTGAAAATATACAATGGAGGTCTTTTATGTGGCAGTACAGCTGAGTGACAATAAACACCAAACAGACTGACAGGGTCAGAGAGAACAAGCTAACCTATCTTTTTAAAGGTGTTCATTTTGTGAAATTACCTATAGGAAGTCACCAGACCAGTTTGACAAAGATAAGAATCGGAGTTAGTTCAGTTCAAAGGAGAGACTTTACATTTTTTTGTAACTTGCACTGCATCTTTATTTCAAACGTGCCCCTGAGCATCCATAGAGGCTTATCCTGCAGCAGTGCGCATCCGTGGAGGATGTGAATATCTTAACAGCTTTAAGTAACTAGTTTCTAATGACCTTTGCAAGTTTGAAATACCTTCACTGATTTGCGGAAAGAAACATCCCTTGTTCTTTTTCTCAGATTGCACTGTTTCCCCAAAAAAACAACCATGCTAATGTTTATCGACCTACACAAAAGCTCAATGGACGAAAAGTACTTGCCTCCCCGGCAACTCAACTTGACGGTGAGTTGATAAATCAAACGCATAAGATTCTGTTCAGATGCCTGCACACTCACTATGAATAGCAAAGTTATACTTTTCGTTCTTCCGTCAAACTTTTCCTCCGAGCAGAGTTATAAAAGGCATGGCATGACCACGGGGAGCATGGTTTTTGGTGTAAAAAGTGCTGACTTTTTACTGTAATATAGATTAAAAGGTACAAAACTGAATATGCTTGTTCTTTCCATCTTTAGGTCATTCGTGGTGCTATGACAGTCACTGTGGTAGGTATCCACTCATATGTGCACATCAGACTGTCAGCACTTTATAGTATCACCAAAACTTTGACTTTTCCTATTTCAGACCACAGTCCTGATAAGTGGCACCTTCTCCCTGACGCCAAATGTGCTGATGAAAGGCAGTCACCTATTGACATTGTCTCAGAGAAGGCACAGTTTGATGAAAAGCTCAAGTCCTTCAAATTTAAAGGCTTTGACAACAAACATGCTATCAAATACATCACCAACACAGGACATGCAGGTTAGACTGCTTTTTCTTTCCATCCAACACTCTTGCACTAAGGTTTCAAAGGGGCATTAAAATCTAAAATACAGTAAGATTAAATCACATTTTGTGTTTTATTCTCATTTTGGTATTTTACTATTTTCTAACTGAACTCCCAGTGAAGTGTGTTCTGAAGGATGGGCTGGTGGAGGTGTCAGGCGGAGGTTTGGAACACGACTACTCTACCTTGCAGTTCCACTTCCATTGGGGAACTGCAAACTCAAATGGCTCAGAGCACACTATGGATTCAAAGAGATACCCGATGGAGGTAGTTATAGGTGCCAGTTCTCTACATTTATCGTAGCATTCTGACTGTCACGATCTCTGTATCATAAATGACACATTGTGTCCAGATGCACATAGTGAACAAAAGGAAAGATCTGACCCTGGATAAGGCATTAAAGACTCATGATGGCCTGGCTGTGCTGGGATTCTTTATTGAGGTAAAAGCAAAGCACTGGACTACTATTACCATTGTCAACTAAGAAATAGCATTATGTTTTACATCGAAGTAAGTCAGGGAGGCATGGTGGTGTGGTGGTTAGCAACGTTGCCTCACAGTAAGAGGGTTCTCGGTTTGAGTCCTTTCTGTGTGGAGTTTGCATGTTCTCCCTGTGTCTGCGTGGGTTCACTCCGGGTTCCCCGGCTTCCTCGCACCGTCCAAAAACCTGCCTTAGGTTAATTGGACATTCCAAATTGCCCTTTAGAATCAGTGTGAGTGCGTGTGGTTGTTTGTCCTTGTGTGTCTCTGTGTGGCGCTGGGGTGGGACTGGCAGACTGTCCAGGGTGTATCCCGCCTCTCAGCCATTGAATACTGGGATGGGCTCCGGTCATCCTGTGACCCAATTAGGGAATAAGAGGTTACGAAAATGGATAGACGGATGTTTCTAAGTAAGTCATTCAAGGGTAAAAAAAACAACAGAAAAAAAACAATAAACATTCAGGGTTAGGGAAGTCGGAAGGTGATGACCTTTAGTTGCCCTCATTCGTGAGATGTTTACAGTGTATGTGAAGTTATGTAAGACATTTGACTGTTAATCTCATCTCGGTATAGATAGGTATCTATGATAAGATGAATGGCTGTCAGTGATGAAGGTGTTTTTCTTGATAGATTTTTCCAGTGAGGATTTCTACCTTTCGTGGATGCACTCTCTTATACTTTAAATAGAAACGTTTGATCTTTTTCATATGCTTTTTATTAATGATGGTCAAATTCATCAATTTTCCAGGCTTCACAATCAAGTAAAAGCAGCTCTGGGGGGTCTCATGTAAGTAGTGCATTTCCACTAAATGTGGTTCACATGTTAGCTTTAATTCTTTAGCCACTTTAAAACACTTCAGTCTTTTTAAACTAATCACTCTGTCTGTAGACCAATCCCACCTCAGGTTCAACATCTAACGAAGCAGGCTGGAAAAATCTAACCAAATACCTCCCAAACATTGAAAATATTGGTGAGCACCCTTGAATTGTGTGTCTCCCTATCAATCTACATATCTACATATATATATATATATAGTTAATAACTGAACTGAATACAGATGGATTCATACATCATTTTTGTTTTCCCTTGTAGTAGGTTCAACGGTTGACGTCACTGAGGAAATCTCCATTGATGACTTGCTTGGCAGTGTGAACCTTCATTCTTTCTTCCGTTACGATGGCTCCCTTACAACCCCTTCATGCAATGAAGCAGTTGTTTGGACAGTCTTTAAAGACCCTATTAAAGTGGAAAAAGACCTGGTAGGCACCGCTCATCATCAACCTCATGAGAAATATGGCAACATAGTCTTGATCAAGGGCGTTGTACCATTTCGGAACAAGAATTGGAGTACTTCGTTGTGTTTTTGAACTGAACACAGCTAACCTGGATTAACAATAGACAGAAAAATACCAATAAGGTACCTTGTATACCACAGCTAAATGGACAGGCAGTGTTTGCAGACTTTTTTGTTCCAGCAAACATGGCTACACATAGCTGCAGTGGCAGAGATTGTTGATAGGACTTGCATTAACTTAAGATTCAAAACTCAAAGACCAATTTAACTCTTTATCTAATGGGTCAGACTCTAAATTTGCCACTCCATAATTAAATAAAGAGGTTCCAGTATCAAAGGCCTGTTATGTTTAGTGACGGGTCTTCTCTGTAAAACCTGTTGTTCAGGCTACAAATCTAGTTATCTAACTGAAAGGAGATAATAAAATAATTAAGTTATATATTAAACAAATGTTAATGTGAAATTTCTGTCTTCCTACCAGATGGAGAAATTCCCAAAACATGCAGGATATCAGAATGTATTTCGACCTGTCCAGTCCCTTCATTCCAGAAAAATCTACACTTCTGCATCTAGTGTACCACAACCCATCCTTTGTCATGTGCTGGTGGCATGTCTGTTTGCCTATTTCAGATGATTTGAAACTTTCAAGAATTGTATTTAATTAATAATTGCTGCACTTTTGATTGCCTTTTTATGCTAGCTAAATGCTTGACAGTGTTTTTCCATCAGTGATGAAGACATTGTGAGATTACCTTGAATATGTTACAACTATATAGACTATGCAGGGATGCTGTCAATTATAACAGGTTGTTTTACTCCATGATCTGTGCACAATGCAATGTTGAACGTGTGATTACTTTAAAGCTAATTTATATCGTTTGTTGTTTCATTGAATACCTGTTTGGTTGTTATCAAGGGTACGATGCCAAATAAAGTTTTCTCATTATCATATCAGGTAAAAGAGCTCAACTACAACAAAACCACACACACAGGAAACGGTCAAGCAGATTTGCAGATCATATCATTTGTTACAACCAACCATTCTTGTCTTACTGCCATGTGTACAGTACTAATGCACAGCCTGGTAAGTTGAAGCCACAGGGCATCAAAACAAAACACCAGCATTCAACTCTGGATCCTGGTAACAAGTAGTTTACAAATGCAAAGGGAGAAAAAAAAGAGAAAATAGAATCTCACTGACAAATGTGAAATGTGCACACAGTTCTGTGAGGCTCATCAGGAGTTAATTTATTTGATTTCGTTTCTGTTCCTCTGTGTCTCGCCTGAAGCACTCTTGTGAGATTGTTCACACCCTGGGAATCATTGAGACTAAATGTGTTTCAGTGATGCACCATTGAGTCTTTGAGTTGATTGGCTAGTTTTGCATCATTAAGAGAGTGGAGAATTTACATGCAAAGGGTAAAATGTTAGGCAGGTCTAAGGTTGTTTTTCCAGTTTAATCTGCATTACCAGTTTTGGTGTCAGCCAAATGGGAGAGTTAGCTGTTTAGGGGCTCAATTTAGTTATAAAAGCTCTTAAATTATCTCCTGTTCAAAAGCCTTGGATTGCATCACAAATGAAAATGAATATTCAGTAAGCAGTGTCTTAAAAACACAAGCAGTAGTTCCAAGAAACAAAAATCATAGAAATGGAACAAAATCGTCACCCTAAAATAAGACAATGCTCTGGGGAGGGAAAGCTGATTCCAAAACCCCACCTTTTTTTTTTGTTCAAATGCCTTGGTAAAGGGAGTGAATCAGGATCCACCCTGAACATCAATAGTCCATGCTCTCTACAATTAAAACACATTACTCACAGATCATGCGATGTTTCTCAATAGTTCCATTTCTTTTCACCTTTTTAGCAATGCAAAGTTGGCAGAGATTCTTCCAGTACGTATAAGCATGACGGCTAACTTATTTCAGCTGACCGAAAAGTATCTGGGCTCCATTGTTTCTCCCAGTCTTGTCGGATCCCCATCATTGTCATCTCTGTTTTTTAAGCTCCCCAGTTTCCACGTTTTTGTTTTTTGCTCAAATATTTTGTAACTCCTTAGTTGTTTTGTCCCTTTTGTTTCCCTTTTTAAAAAAAGGGTTTCTGTCTTGGCCTTTTGTTCAGTTATTCAAAATGAATAGAAGTTTAATCCTCTTCCACCTGCTTCATTGCAGGTATGAGGGCCCATACCACTGACTGACAGTCTTTTGTATATTTGTTTTCAGAGAAGAGCTAATGGTTATCAGTTATTCAGGTCATCACAAGGTAGTGCTGTAAAATAAACAGATGAGATTTTATTACTAATAAACCAAGCAAGCTCTTGTGTATGGTAAAGCTTCGACTGACATCTTGATATATAATCAAACACACAAGAAAACTGAATCTAAAACGTAACATTAAAATAGACAAAACCCATTTGATTGGTTTGATAATAAAACATACAAGTTCTTCCTGTCCACCAGCAGTGTTGACAGACTAGTCCCGCATGACTGGGACCTCCATGCCTGTTCACATTATCATGACGGATAACTTGTATAACTTGTTAAATGTTCCTGTAACTTGATTTTTCCTGTGTCTGTGCATTTGTTTATAGTGATAAACCCTGACAAGATGTTTGCAAAACTGATGACGTTTGACCAAGTTATTAATCTTTCAGGACAGCTTTCTTCAGATGTTTAGATTTCCTTTTAAAAAAAAAAAAAGAATTGCAGACACTTTCCAGCATGCATGACGTAATGAGGACTTGTACATGCTTCACACAATTTTTCAGTGGAGTTTTCTTTGTGGTGTAAAGTTTTACAATGAGTAAATCATATAAAAGAAAACTTGATATTCTTCCACTTAATACCATGTGCTGGAGGGGTTCAAAGTTTATTTGGACAATACTTCAGAAAAATCTGCATATGTTTGCATATGATTGTTTTTTTTGTTTTTTTTGTTCAATAAAGAGGAGACCAACAAAATGTTAAGAAAACAATGGAAGTGTTTAAAATGGCAGAAAACATTTGCAAATTCTTGTTCATGTCTTCAATGGAACTTTAAAGGCATTCACTTTCAAAAGGTTTATCGGCTTCCAACATCATTGTACATGTTGAGGGATCTGTAGTCAGAGGCCATCCTTTTTATACAGTATCAGTCATGCCACAATCATTCAGTAATGCATCTCTTCTCATGTCCCTCGGGGTAATTCCAACGTAGGTCAGAAAGCAGCTGTAGTGGGAATTTAAATACCTAAAATGTGAAGAACTGTCAATGCTTACTTTCCCAAAGTGAACCTTATGAGACTCCTCATCTGAAATGTTTTGTTCAACCTGGTTTGAATACATAGGCTATCTATATTTTTTTTTTTAAATTGTTACAGAACCCCCATGAAATAAGCCCTAAAGATGTGTTCACTGTGAGAGTAAGGTGTGGTTACCTAATTATTAGATGTGTTACTATGGTATGGTCCACAAAACAATGTTCCTTTAAGGTTTTTTTTTTTTTGGGTGTGTCTAGAAGGAAATGTCAACCAAAACTTAGAAAATTATTCAAGTTTAAAAGTAAAAAAGCTACACTATATGCTACATTTTATTTCTACTCCATCTGAAATCATTTTAATCATTAGTGCTAAAGAGTAGAAAACCAACTGTGCAAGTTCATTGTAATGATGTGTTCCCTGGACTTAAACCGGTTAAATTAATGTCACATGCTAATCTCCCTTTTCTTGGTAAACATATATTTATAAAAAATTGCAAGCTTTTGGCCCAAAGCCGACCTTTTAATTTCCTTTTAAAAACTACTCAGATAAAGGGGATTTGCCCAAGAATAAAAGAAGAATGAAGGTTTATCGTTTAAATTGAGCTTCCTCGTATTAGTCACCAAACCTGACGCAGGTGCTCATTGATATGCAAAGGAAAAAATGCATGCAGGATGGGCTGAGCTCTTAAAAGGGGGAGCACGAAGCTTCTCACCTGTTACTTTCCAGGGAGGAGGCACCTGTGCATCAAAGGTAAGCCAAAGCTGAGATCTGCCTCAACAGCGTGTGCGTAGCATTCCAATATATTTTTTTAAATTAGTTTTCGTTCTTCTTTTCATCTTTGAAACAGCACGCTTACAGATGCATCCATTATGTTGTGATCTGGTCCTCAAGGCGCACTGCCACGCATATTTTCCATTGTTTGGTGCTCAAGCACACCTGGAGGGCTGCCTGATGGGGATCAGGTGTGCTGGAACAGTGAGGACATGCAGGCGGTGTGCCGTGAGGACAGGGGGGGGGGGGACTCCGGGAGAGAGTACGCATTGGAATTTGATGCGTCGTAATTTAATTTTAAAATGGAAATATCATTTTAAGAAAATGTTCTCAGATGAATTCCTCTGCAGTGACGCTTGATGCCTGGTGGAGAGATGTTTTCAGCTTTATTGAACTGTATGTTGTTGTCTTTTACCCCCGTCTCAGATGAAGTGGTTTGTGGTGGCTGCTGTGTGCGTCCTGGTGCCCGACTGCTTCTGCGCCTCAGACGCTGTCGGTATGTGGACTGGATATCAAATCCACAGCTAGTTGAATTTCCTCTAACTCCAAATGCGAAGCACTAATTTTCCTCTCCCTTCTCCAGCGTGGTGTTATCACGAACCGACTTGTAGTGAGTATTTCCTTTTCTCTTTTTTTATTTTTTATTTTTTATTTTTTTATTTTTTTATTATCATCTCCAAATGTCAATAACTGTATCATTATCGCATCTTGACTACATCTCGGCTTTTCTGGACTCTGATCTCCCCCTCTTTGACAGATGACACCCAATGGCCGACCATTGCCGCCCAGTTTTGCAAAGGCAAGCGTCAGTCGCCCATCGACATCGTGTCCGGCTCCGCCACGGCCAACGCCAACCTGACCGCCTTCACCTTCCACGACTACAACAACACCTCTGCCCTGGACAAGATCGAGAACACGGGGAAGACCGGTAAGGAATGAGAAGCTTTGTGTATGGTGGAGGATTCCTTTGGATTTTTTTTCTTTTCCCCCTAAAAGCTCATCTTTGCAGCCACATTATCAGGCAAGTATCATTGTGAGGGATATTTCTAAGACCAAAACCTTTTCACCCCTTCAGTTAAAGTGTCCCTCAAGTCTGGCGTTAAGGTTTCTGGGGGGAACCTGTCTGAGACCTACGACAGCCTGCAGTTCCATCTGCACTGGGGCAACGGCACTTCCATCCCCGGCTCTGAGCATACTGTGGACGGCAAGCGCTACCCCATGGAGGTATCCATTTTTTCCCCCTCATGTTTCTCGCCATTTCCTATGTTCGTATTTAAAATGCGTGGTTTTTGCTTTATTCCCCTCAGTTGCACATTGTTAACAGCAAGTCATCCCTCAATGGGAACACAACGCTGGCTGTGGCAGACTCCACAGGGCTGGCCGCCCTCGGTTTCTTCATTGAGGTGGGAGAGGAAGCTTGCAAATCAAAATATATTTAACATTGTATTACAGCTCAATTTGGTTTTAAAGTCACTTCTGCTGAAAATCCATATCAAAATAATGCATTTAAACAAAAACATCTTCTAGGTAATGTCAGGCAGTGAAACGGGTCAGCCGGCGAGTTGGAAAAACCTGACTTCCTACTTGTCACAGATCCAATTCAGCGGTAATTTCTTCTCTTCTGTAATAATGGTAATAATGATGAAATGGTTTTTTTAAAAGTTTAAATTTTTCCCCCAGGGAACTCTGCCAAAATCACACATGAAATATCCCTGGATCATCTTCTGGAAGGGGTGGATCGTACAAAGTACTACCGCTACCTTGGCTCTTTGACCACACCATTGTGTAACGAGGCTGTGGTCTGGACTGTGTTCAAGGACCCAATCAGGGTCAGCAAAGATCTGGTGAGTTTAATGTGCCGTTTTGTTAGTCTGTTCTCTCCTTCACTACGAAACAAGTTCTCCTAGTTCACTGTCTGACCGGTTCTGTCTCCTCTCCAAGATTGACCTCTTCAGCACAACGCTGCACATCTCCACTAATGCCTCGTCCCCTCTGATGGTGAACGTTTTCAGGAACGTCCAGCCAGCACAGCCGGTCTCGACGCAGCCCGCCAGCAGCGGCAGCAGCTCCACTGCCAGCATGCCAGGCTTCACTCTGGGTTTGATGGCCGTTGCCTTTGTGCTGGGCAGAAATTAAAGTTGCTGTGACACAGGTCAATATTTTGCTGTTGGCTTTTTAAAAAAACAAAGCATAAATCAACTTTTAAATTTTCATCGTTGAGAATTGCACTCGGAGCTGAATGTTATTTCCTTATTCCAGCATACTTACACAACTGAGCCATCGTCCTAAAATACTTTGAAAATGCTCTGTCATTGTGAAGGGTTTAAAAATATGAAGTTTGGATATTTTCTACCTCTGTTCTAACGTGGTTGTCCATGTTTTTCATGGCTCTGATTCACTTTGAAATTGTCAAATGCCAAATGGCGCATGAATGTTTTTTTTCCCCTTTGACAGTAGAAGCACAATCAGCCACAACAGGCTAAAGCAACACCCAGGTACCCAAGAAATGAACTTCAATGTTTACAAGTTGTTGTAGTTCAGTATGGCAATCTGATAAGTCTTTTTATAGCGTTTCCTTGAAGGGGTGTTAATCTCTGGAAGTTAAAGCTTCCTTATTGCACAATAGCTTTTTTTTTTCCCCCCTCATCTTCCCTGTAAAGTGTAAGCTGAATGCTCAAAGTGAAACGTGTGCTTCATCCTTTAGTTGGTGTAATGAAAGATTGAAGTTCAACTTGATCTAATGAACACCTTTGTATTTATCTAAATGGTGTATACTGCATTTGTTCCTTTTGATATTGTGATGCATAACTTGTACATTGTAACTGTTACCTCCTGAGCTTAATAAATATTTATCAATCTTTTTTTTTTTTCATTTTTATAAATGAAGCGGTACAACAAATCTCATTCAAAAGTCTTATATCCTTTAAGAGCTTGTGTTCACAAACCCATTTACATGAACACTTCAGATGAAAGGCACATTTTAATCCCAGCCTGCTCGCTGACAACTGAAATGAAAACACATTTGTTCCTTCAGTATTCACCTTGACAAGTGACCTGTGCGTTGAAAAGCCTACTTAAGCTGTAGTACAAACAGTCTTTTATGTAAACGGACATTGATCAACTGTCTAACTTGACTGTGCCAAATTTGGATTTGAATGTTACAAAAAGTAGAGGCAAATGCAAAAATTGTGCTTAAATATTTTGGTAGACTTTCAAGAATAATTAACTCACTGCCGATCACATTAGCTTTTTTCAGTTTTTTTTTTTTTCATGAACTAAGAATATGCATCAATTGCGAGCAGCTCCAAACAGAAGAACTTATGTATTCTTGTCATACTCTTCTTCCTGCTGTTACAGACTCATAGATTTTTTTAGGGTTGTGTGCAGGGGTGGATGAGAGGTATCTGTAATAAAGCTGTCACAAAGTGATCTTGGGAATGTTAAGTGGGTGTCAACATTTGTCACATGTGTCACAGGTTACTAGTATGTGCACTGAAAGAATGTGACTTGATCATGCAGGTGCAATGGTTAAGAGCTTTTTGTCTGAGAAATTCTTCACAAAACAGGTTTTCTTGATTTTTCCGATGTCAAAGAGGGTAATATTGGATTATTTCCTGTATTAAGTTAACTACAATAAAACTTTAAAACTTCATTTATAGAGGAAACATTTGATTGAAACATTTTTAAGAAAAGCATAACTTTATTCAAAAATCCCTTAATGCTTATTTTGACCATGCAATGACTAAGACTTAATCTTTGGAGCTTGTTATCAAACTGGAAGTATTTCTGACCTCATGGGACTTGGCGTCAAAAAGTCAAACAATTTTAAATTATGGTAACTTATATATAACTGAGGAAACTGCACACTAGGAATAAAATCCAGTCATGACACTGCATAACATTAAAAAAGTGCATCAACAAACCACCTGTCCAGCTTTGCTTTTCACATTTAGTATTACCAAATTATATTTCTGCCTCTATACCATGTAACTAAACATGCGTAAATGCAAATTTTGAAAAAAATCAGATCGGTTGATGAACTCATAGTATTTTTGTTGTCCAGTCTCTTTACAGAGCAAACCAAAGGTGGTTATACAACTCATTGTAATGAGGGAGTAACACATGTGCGTTAAGTTGGTGTTAAGTTTTCTATTTACTGAACAGGCCTTTTATGATATGTACAATTTATTTAAGAAATGTGAACCTCTATATTAAGATGGGGAGAGGTTGTAAAAAAACTGATTTGGTATGCTGACAATACATTCTGATAAGACCAAATATATACGGTAAAACAATCTGTAATTGAAGTATTGAAAGCAAGCTTTTTATAGTATGTAACTGACACCAGAAGGTGAGTTTGAAATCCCCAGAACAGATGAGGATCTCGTAAGTCTCTATTACACTTGGGTTGAATGAGAGGAGTGGCATGAAACATCTGCTCTGCTTTAACTCAGGCAAATTTCAGGCTTCTGATCAACTCATCGACTGCCAAAATGATAGGAATCAAGAAGAGCCAGCTGCCTCTCAGAGATGGAGAGGATCCCGTCAAGTCACACCTGCATCCCTTCGGGTTTCGAGGATTTGCCGGCGCGGAGGTGGATGGGGGAGCGGGGCATCTGAGCCAGTCGACAGACGTTGATTTGGGGGTGTCAATGTCTTGAATCTGTCCTCCGCTCATTACCCAGTAGAAGCTGTCCTTGAAGAAGTAGGCATCTCCTGTAGAGCAGCGGTAGCACCAACAACATGATGAGTCAGTCCAACTCACAACAGCAGGCCCTAAATGATGAAACCTGTGCTCTGTGTTGACTCCAAAATACTGTGTCAGACGAAAAGGTTTATAGGTGCGGAATTCACATAAATGAAGACGTCCCAGTAAAAAACATGTTGTCATGTTGACTGATTAATCTCATCACTTGTAGTTGTGACAAGCAATATGTAGGAAGTGAAATAGAATACTGAGCATTTGAAAAGCTGGATGTACAAACACAGATATACTTAAGTGCCTATGTATAAACTTCACAGTTCATATTCAGCTAATTGTTAAATACTGGCAAACATATCATCATTGGGATTACCAGAATTACTATGAATTTGAGTTAATAGTGAGAATTGGCAGAAAATGCTAATTCCATTCATGAAAATTGATGGATGGATGGATATATGAACAACCAATCTGTTTTTCAGTACATATTTCTGCAGCTGAACAAATTGATACCTTCTCCCCAGCTGATGATGTCATCCATATGTGTTGGCATGCCTCCCCAGATGCTGTTGTCTCGTGGGTAGCCTGGCTCTGGCTGCCTGGTCACCTGATCGCTCTTTTGGCTCTCGTCAAACCTCCAAAACTGACCTCCACTGAAAAGGTATGTCTTGCCGTTGTGGGCCCAGATGAAGGCTGCATCCACCCTGTCCACCGGTGTCCCGCTCTTTGTCGTCATGCCCCAGTCAGAGAGGGGTCGGGGGTACCCACTCATGGCCACAGTGTCTTGGAAGACCCAGTACTGAGATCCTGGACAGATGGAGCATGTCATTAAACATGGTATATAAATGCGTTAGCCTTTTCAGAGAAGCAAACTTCTACAAGTGCAGAAGCACTGCAGGTGGTGTAAAGACTGTGCAGGTTCTAGATAAAAACAAGCTCCTGTCAAGATAGCATGATTTTGAAAGAAGGCTTTGCAGGATTTGACGAAGCTTGCTAACGACTTATCGCCTCTGAGCAGCCAGAATCCTGCGTCAAACAAGATTTATAAGATACATAATCACTGATAAATAAGAGAGAATCACAAAATTTGAAGAAATTGTGTTGTGTATGCCTTTGTACAACAAATTCAAGGGGACTTGTGTAAGTCAAGTTACCACAGAATGATGGCAGCTGTGTTGTTTGCACCAGAGAAAGAAAAGTTTGACACAAGTATTTATGAGTGATGCTTAATTATCAGTAAATAGAAACTCTATCAGCATAAATTAGCGACATTTTGTTTAAAATCCAAACTACTGATTGTTATGAAGCTGTTCAAAGCCAATTCTACATCCTTCGAAGGTGTGTACCTCGAGCTAAGTTATACAACCAAATGCATTGGTATGTTTTAATTTACTCACCAATAAAGAAGATAATTCTGCTGTCACTCTTTCTTTCATAAACAGCGTCAATGCTTTTCGTGTGGGCAGGTAACCCAAGCCAGAAGTTTTTGATCTGTGCCGGCTTTAACGACACTAAAGACCCATCCCTCTTTGTTCTCCAGAACTGGGCACCTTTCCAATAAAGAAAGAAAAACATTACACGAGTGTTAGGTGTTTAGTCACCAAGAATAATAAAAAAAACCTGTATTTCAGGATTTCTACATTGTACAATAAATTGTAGGTCACAACCGGAAAAAAAAACAAAAAAACATTTTAAACATTTAACTGTTTTTGGTAAACTTTAAAGTTTTCTTCTTACCTCTGAAAAAGAAGACCTCTCCCCGGATATTTGCTATTGCATCAAAGCCTCCGGAACAGCGTTCATGGAAAGATGGATCAGAACTGGGACAGGAAAAGATTGGTCAAACGGGCATGATTTGACAAAGCTTACTAATGGCAGGTATGACAGGTAATGACATGAACTCATTTTTTTGGTGACCACCAAATTCAAAGTATGATTAAAGAAAAAGATTTATCGCTGCTGAGCAGCTAGAATCCTGCGTTCAACAAGACTTCGCTTACAAAGTATCTCCTAATATTTATCCACAAGATATTGACACGTTTCACCTTCAACATTTAACTATTTTTTGTGCACTTAAATGTGACTCAATCTTTTTTTTTAACACTAGAGGGTGCCACAGTGGGCCTACTTCAGGGTGGAATATGCTGTGCTCAGCATGATTTATTCGCCCTTAAGTGGTCTGGTGGAGTGTTCCACGCACTGCTCTGTGGGTCTTGGGGGAGGTGGACTCGGAAGGCGTGGGGGGTCAGGATCAACATCAACCGGTCGCCCACTGTCTCTCATGCCTGCAACAGAAGAACGACCACAGGAAACACTGAAGAGGAAACGAAAGCTGATGACGGCATGACAAAAACTAACAGTGAGAATATCAGACAGGCTTCAACCTGTTACTGTTATGTTGAGTATCATCCCAGAGCAAGCAATTACCTATACAAGTGTGTATGTATATATGTGTATATATATACATATTGCCATGCATTTATGACTGTCTCATACCGTACAGCTGTTGAATGGCCAGCCTGTCGTCCAGTGCCAGTTTGAACTTGGAAACATCTCCAACAGAACCTTGGTAGTACGGCCTCATGATAGACGGATCAGATGAAGAGTGAGACAGGCCCAACGCATGACCAAACTCATGCACTGCCACTGTGAACAAATCTGTGCTGCTGCTGTCGTCTGCAGAGGTGTGAGGAAAATAGGGGTTACTGCACACATTTAGAAAAAATAAAACAAAATATCATGTGTCACTGAATATTGAAATGCTTCGGGTCTAATCTTTTTTTTAATAGCTGTATCTGTCAATGCTCTTTTCATCCAATAAGATATATATCTTGCAGCCTCCATCTTCGCATTCTGATCTCAATCAATCGATTAATCAATACCTCCATAGCTCCAGATCTCATGGTCATCAAAATGTGTGTCACCGGCCACTTCATCTCTGCCAGGAAAAAAGGCATGGGCCAAAGTACCGCCCTGCCCGTCGAAAGGGTAGCCGTCATCATGGAGCAGGCGTGCGAAGGACACTCGGATGTCCGCCTCAGATGAGGCTCCTCCACCGTTCCGCAGCAGCTGGCGGAAATTTAGGGGGGCCACGTCACTCCAAGCTTTGAAAGCATGACCTAAGATGCTGTCCACCAAGTTGTTTGGCAGGCCTGGTGAGTTAGACGCCGTCGGGTAGCTGTGGATGCTGTGAATGAAAATAAAGACTTTGGACCAAATGGATCACAGTTTAACGCTGCCGTTCAGATGGATTTGTCGTATTCATCTACAAGGCTGATCTTTTCAGACTTTTACAAATTTTACTCCATAATGTTTAGCTATGAGGAAACTTTGGCTAGTGAAAATGAAAAATCTACTTGACTGATAATTGTTTCCTTGTTTGACTTGTAATTGGTCTGGAAAAACCCTGTGGCGGTGACTCATACACGGGAGTGATAGGGCCACCATGTGACATGACGGGAAACATACCTCCATGTGAGGTCTGTCTTATGCCACTTAAGGCCTGACAGGGCATATCTCTTCCTGCGCCTCCTCCTCTTCCTCATGTCTTCTCCTCCAACGATATCAGGAAGAGAGCAACGTGGTGTGGTCATGAGTTTGAGCGTTTCGCTGTCTGAAGGGGAGATGCCATATGTAAATGCCATGCCATGTGTGAATACTGAAGTGTAGTCCACATCAAATAGAGTGGTAAATACATGTTGTTGTTTTTTATAGAAGTAAAGATAAGAAATTGTTACCCAGCAACCCAGTTTCCTGGACCCCACCGAATCTCTGCATGACCCGGATAGCATTCTCTATCCCCTCTTTGGTCTGCAGTTGGCTGGTCCGCGGGTCAGCGGGCGCTAGGTAGCCATACCTGCTCAGCCAGTCCTACATGGGCCAGATGGAAAGAAAAAATGAACGGGAAATTTTTTTGCAATTGGTAAATTATTCATTGTGTGCTGCTCTACAAAAAAAAACCCTCAGGGAATCCACGTCAATGCTGAAATTTATCACCAGGATGGATCGCCTTACAGGCTGTGGAAGCCAGACAAAAGACCCTCAGCTTCCTGTCAGCTCATGAGGCCGCCTGTCAACTACTTGTTTTGTCACATACATGGCAACATCATCTCCTCGTTGAGCCATTTGTATTTAGGTGGGGCTCTGCTCGTGTGTTTGCTGTGATAGGAAATGAAGAGCAATCTGTTTCTTTGAAGTGATTTTGAAACCTGCAACGCTCTTGCCTCTATCCAGCTTCAATACCTTCTACTGCAGGTTGAAAGCGGCCCAAGGGTGTTGGCCCTAACCATAAACAGTCTTTTTGTGGTTTTTAAAAAGTGCATACGTTCATGAGTTTTAAGGAAATGGTAAGGTTTCATTCCATGTACATGCTTTTTTTCTATTGCTATTTCTTGGTAGATGTATTGTATTGTTTTTCTGTGAAAATACTCTTCAAAAGTGCTATGCAGAAGTAAAACAACCCTGATTTTCATGGTGAAAACATCACTCATGTGAAATTGTGAAAAAACGACACGTCATTTTTGAGGAACTGTCCAGGGAAATGAGAAGCACACAGATTTCTACAGATTAATGCTTTTTTTCAGTAAGCTGAAGTGTACAGTTGAGGTATAAGTTAAAGATGGCTAAGTAAAAAAGTTAATATGCTACATCAAACAATACCCTAAAACCCAGCAGTCATGCACACCCTGCGCCCACCTTCCCCCTCTTCACCATATGTTTCCTTTATGAGTCAAACACATCATTTTAATCCATGCACAACTTGATTTAAAGTGCAACAAATGCTCTGAGTGCAATATCTATAATGAAATCTAAAGCTTTCCACCAAAGCACCGCTGGATAAAAGTGAAACTGACATAGGTTGAGTGTAAAATCTGTTAAAATGGCACAGTCTAATCTTCATCAACCATGTCAAACACACTTCATGAGCCCTTTAAAACAAGCAGACGGAGAACAAAATGTGTACTTTGTTCTATAAGTAAATTGAGAAAGTGCTAATTAAAGTGATGCTGGTTAAACAATCTTTTCCCCACTGTCCACACAGCCAAGAAGAAAACGAATAAAAGATTTCCAACTGAACAGAGGAGGCTATTTCTGTTGATGCATCCCACTCACCACTGCCCGGCTGTACTGGTCGGGCACAGCTGATGCGCTCTCCATTACGCTCCACAGGAGCCCCAGCAGAACGCCCAGCTCCATCCCAGTCACTGCGGGAAAAGCGCTCCGTTAGCTCCACAACGGTGAACAACTGGAGGAAACGCGGACATTTCGAATGGCCGCAGCTCCCCCTGAACAATCCCAAACTCCACAGAACCAGCACAAAGCTCACCCTTGTCTTTTCCTCCGAAGCTCCGCCGTCTCCCGGGACTAGGCTGGGCCAATCGATAGGCAACTCTGGAGTGCGCTCTCAGGGTTTGCGGCTTCTCCTTCCTTTAGAACATCTCTACTATACCGCCATATATGGCTCAATGCACCTTGCGTGCGGAGTGTTTGGGGAAATGACTGCAAAGGCGATGAACTAAAACAGGCGACAAAGTCTTATTGACTGTGCATTTATTTAGTTAGAGCAGCTATACGTTCTGCTCCCATATTGACTGTATTCTGACTTATACAGTCATCATTTAGGAAAATACTTTATATAGAAGGCTCCAAAAATATTCAAAGGGCCCTCAAACTTTACAGTCGTCAAGCCTCTTCTTTATTCGTGAAATGTAAGCAAAGACAATGACAGAAGGATCTATTTCCATTAAAGAACAACAACATATATACTGTATTTTAAAGCTGTTTAGTGTTGCATGGCATAGAATACAATATGTTCTCAGATATTTTGGAATTTTGCCTGTACGTTAAAGTACGACAACGTGTGGGGTTTTGATTTACATTAAAACCGAATATCGACGTCCTGCAGCAGTGCTTACTTTATCACTGGAAATACAGATCTGCCCTTTAGGAACAGAGAAGGCCTCATTCTTTAATGCCTTGTGGTGTTTAAAGTGGGGGTCAATAGATGGGTCAAGTATCTAAATGCAATTCATGTAAATAAATACGAGGGCATGAGATTTTAGTGTAAACTGGGCTTATGACTTCTCAGGGGAATTTTTCTTATTTCTAAATTCTGAAATCTGATAAAAATAGCATTTTATCACACTAATATTAGATTAATTTCTAAGATAAGCTTTAACCAATTTATGTGGTTCAATTAATTAAATGCTCTGGTTTGACTACATTAAACCCACATTACAATATAGTTTGAGTAATCTTTGACTATTTGTTCCCACAGTGTCCTTTTGTATTGTCTCGAGTCATGATGCCTTTACAGAAAAGTGCTGCACACACTGCCTTTCTCTGTGGAGCCGTGTCTATGTGTCCAGTTCTCATGACTGAGTGCTCAGGAATGCTTTGAGGAGGCTTGAATTTGGCACAAAACTTGCTTGGGCTGAAGGAAGGACTGATTAGATCTTGGTCAAGGGTGAAGGGTCTCATCACACTGACTTTACTAAACAGTTTTTTGTCCATAACTCAAGAAGTCACATCCTTTTTCTGATAGATAGAGTCATGCCATTTTTATAAGTATGCAGGTCAGTTTCACTATGACATCATAATTAACTCCTTTGTAGTGGTTGTGTACATTTTTAGAGCTTCAAGGTTGCAGGCGTACAAAGTTAACTTTAAAATCTTTACTGGCCAAATTTACAGCTCAATATCATTTTTTAAATTGTTACATATTTTGTATGGCTGATCTTAGATTTGTTTTGAATAATATTAATTGAAACAGGAATCTAACTGGCTGGTGCATTAAGCCAAAAATGTCTTATAGTTTCTCTTGTGTTTAACTATTTTGGTCATTGGGAGAGAAGTGTCTGTATTTTGTGTTCTTTTGAGCAAAGACGCTCTATGTGTGATTGTAAGTTGTTCGTGTGGTTTAAAAGCTCAAGGCTACTTATATATCAGACTTAATCATTCAGACACATGCACATTTAATTTTAAGACAAATCCCTGGGTCCAAACATGTTAAAGCAGGCTTGACATATTTAAATCTGATTTTATAATCAGCCCAGAGGGTCTGATGGCTGGCTCACCAGTTTTTCAGAATGGGCCTGAAAAATTACAGACAAAAGGCTTTTAAATGCCGCATTCTTTCCGAATGGTTCAAACAAAGGCTGTAATTCCTATGTCGTCGTCCAGTTTCAAGTTTAGCTAATTAGGTATACCTCATCCTCATTTTCACACGAACTGGATATAAAATCTCACATCAGTCAGACCTCTGTGTGTACTTACATTACCATTAAAATGAAAATATATTCATAGTCATTTTTTAAACCATGTTTTAAATTTTAAGCGACAACCTATTTGGGCGGTGTTTTTAAAACAAAAAGGATGTAAAAGAGTAACATAATGGTGCTACATTAAGCTGGATGCTCTGGCATCTCATAGTCCCGTTATGTTTGCTGGTCTACATTTTCATTCTCACTGCAAAGCACCATCAGTATTATCTTTCGGTCTCCCTCCCTCACTCTCTCCCTCCCCCTCTTCCTCTCCTCATCTTTAATTTCTGGTCATCTTCCAGAGCCCAAGTGATTCATGCCATTAGCACGAAATGCAGCCTCTGCTAATGGCTGGCTAGTTCCCGTCATGTCTACTTCATGGAGCTGCCTTGTGGAAATTATAGAGCATTCTCACTGCTCAGTATGGACATTCTAACATATAGTCCCAGTCATGCCTTTGTTCTTTTGCACATAAAACTCCAGAAAACCGAGTTTACACTAAATAGATTGCACGCTTGCTGAATGTGTGATTAAAATTCAGAATAGGAAAACAATAGGACTTTAAAATATTTAAAATCCATCATCTGTTTGTTGTTTTTTTTGCAAACACTGTCTGCCACCTTATACTCAATAATATTTCATATTAACAACATTTGGCTTTATGTATGTTCTTGAAGAAAAGGTGGAATCTCTTTCTTGTCCAGTTTTGTGCTTTTTCTTGGTAGATAGTGCTTTGGTCTGTTAACAGCTGCAGCTGTAGTTGCCAGAGCACCGATACTAAGACACTCTCACAAGATCGATCAACTTCAAGTATCTATTATTCAACCTTTGCATTTGGAGGTGTAATCTTTGTCTCTCTGTCCCAAATATATTTAATTTAAGTAACAAATCACAAACTCAAACTATGAAACTGAATTCAATGCACACAATTTTATTTTCATTAAAGGGATCCAAGGCCTTCACAAAAGGGTTGACTCTTGGTAGCTATACAGTACTAACACAACACGTGACAACAACAAAAACAACACAAATGACTCATGTGAACGAGTGAAAAGACAAATAAATGAGAGCTGAAAGACATTTAATTTGAGATGCATCAACAGAACGGTTCGTCCAGGGATAGTGAGCAGAGCGCCAAACTCTGCAAAGAATAATAACGGCATGTGTACAACATTTGTCTCACTCCTGTAAGTTACTGATTGTCTGTAGCGCTTTCTTTTGGTCATGCACAGCAGTTAAAGTCATTGCTCTTGTATGGACAGTGTTGCAGTCATTTCACAGCTTTGATCTCCTCTTCCTCCATCTTTGATTGTCTTTCACAAGAGTACTTGCATTTGAGGATTGTTGTTTAATGTGCAAGGATGCTTGATTGTCATTGACTGATGGGAAAGTGTCACTAGTGATGTAAAGTAAAATAAAGACAAAAAAGCCAATCCAAGTATGTGTCACAGCTCAATTTGTTCTTTTTGTTTGTATAATGTTGAGGAAAGAAAAATAAATGATGGTTTTAGATTGTTTAACCCGTATTAATCTCGAACCTTAAACCCACATTTGCTGTCCATGACTAGCCAAGTGTTGGACATTAGAATCTGTCAAAGTTGATGTGGCAGCACCTTTTATCTGACTTATTCACCTTGCGCTTTGACTTGAGTCCAGAGCGTGCTACATTCTTCCCTCTAATAACATCTGACAATAATCCACAAATATCTTCATCATACACAAATGTCTGTACAAAAATATGTGAACCCAGTGCTGGCAGGATAGGCAGGATTTACACTTTTATGGTAACTTTAAAGTTTTAGTAAGCAAGTCTAAAATCTTCACAGTAGCTTCACACAGCTTTTGCTCAGGGAACAAGCTAGCTATCACAATATCATTGAGCTGCTCAAGTAACAAGAAACTATGGTTACACTTCACAATACACCTGGCATCTGCTGGAATTTGCTTAGTACTGCTGGATCACATTTTTTAAATGATTGAACCCTGCCATATAATCTCTGAGTATGAACACAAAAAGAGGTTTAATTGGAATTCCAAAAGCTTCATAGCTACTTTTTTTTTGGGATGAATTTAGGAGATATACGTTTCAAAGCTAAGAGTTGTCAGTAATTCAGATTAACCTCTTTAATCAGTTTAAATCTAAATGCTGTCATCTGTCACCTATAATTAAATAAAGAAAGTAATTTAAATATACATTTTTGGAGCCTTAAACAGACAGTCGTCCGTCAACGCATCACTTTCTCTGCATTTCTGTTCTTTGGGAAAGGAAGGTGACGGATGTCGTGTGACTAAACAGAAGTAATAGTGAAAGGATGAAAAAGAATTAAACATGGTAAAAATTCGGTGCCAATTCTTTACCGCCAAGTTAGAAAAAGCATCGCTTTCTGTGCCCCATCTGACAAAATACCTGGAATTCCACCCGATTCTAATTGAGTCTATTTTGCTTCTAATGGCAGCTCTATTATGAACAAAGCGTCAAAAAACATGTGCTGCCTATTAATACTGAGACAATACCAGTATGGCCAGAGTACTATTAAGTGCAACCAAAGCTGCTCTTGGCTGTAATTGTAAACATTTAATGCTTTTTAGGGTCTGCAACCCGTTGAGGCTCCTCCACAGCTCAGCCCCGTGCTTCCTTTAAACCGGTGTCCAAATGCTGTTTTCCTGACAATACAACTCCCCCTCCTCACTCCCTTCTTCTTTTGCCAGTCAACGAGTGTCTGGTGCTCACTGTAATCTGGCCCAGTACTGACCCAGGTTCTGACCCATGCTCTGCGGCTCCGTTCCTGGGACCTGGACCGGCACTGAAACCCCAGGAGATATGAGTCCTGAATGAGAGAGAAACAGGAAAAGAGAAGTCACTTTGGGGTTCAGCGTAATTTTTGTCGCACCCCTGGTCCGAAATAACGTCACAAAGCAAACAAGTTTGTGTCCATCCCAGTTTTCTGAACACCCACCTGTGTTAGAGTTGGTGGAGGGTGGAGTCTGCAGATGCGGGGAGGAGTACGCCGATGAGTCAAAACTGCGCGGTGCAGAGGGGGATGGCGGTAACATGCATGAGTAAGAAGAGGCCGACTGGGGCGGAATTGACTGGGTGTGAACACAGGAGTTTAGGAGAAGAGAGACAGTGATTAGTTTCATCATCACAGCCTCATCGGAGACGGTGGCAGTGAATTGCATCATGCATGCTATTGAGGAATTTACAAGTGCCAGCAAGTTTCTGTGTGACCACATGGAGGTGCTAAAGAATGTGAGATGGGAGGGATGGCAGAGTAACAGCCCAGGTTTTCAACAATGTTGTCCATTTCTAGTCCTCAGGTGCCACCGTCTGACAGATTTGAGATTATTTTGATCTTTCAATAGATTTCTATCCTCTTCTGCAAAATCCTGTACCCACTGATATGAGCCATGTCTGTTAAATTAGGGAAACATCTGACATTTATTGTACAGATTTTTAAATTTTACTTTTGTTTTTTATCAAAACAGTCTGACTGATAAAGAAATGGTTGTGAAAGCATCTCAATTTTAATGTTTTGGTTTCATTTACTTCTATTAAACAACATTGCAAGAAAGGATTTATTTTTCAAAATTACCACTCAGAAAACCTTTAAAACAGTGAAACGAAGGTCACCGAGTGATTTCAGGGATGTGATCCCAAAAACTCTCCTACATCAGAAAAATACTCAGGAAACAAATTTTTAGAAATTGTTGGATCTAACCTCTTGTAACTTCAAATTTTCTAAAATCATTGAATATCAAAAGTATCTACCCTGTCTATTCTTTGTGATTCTTAAAACATAAAGAGGGAAATCTGAAGTTGCTTGGATTCGTTTTTCCTGACGGTTGTGATATTTTCATCTAATTGTCCATAGCAGGCCTCTGGCTCCGGTGGGCAGAGTCTCTCATAGTAATCTTACACAAAGCATCCACCTGTGCTCTGAACAGGAGGTTTCATCAAAGTCATTTTGTGACAACAATACGTTTTTAGTTTGTACTTATTGAATAAGACAGTGAAAAGTAGTAAATTCGGGAGCATCTGTTAGCGGTTTCATTCATGGTGTTAGAAGCTGGACCTGTGCGATCGCACACAGATTCTGCTCTGTGGTGACAACTGGCTCTGGTATAATTTAAAAGGCGAGGATTAATGATGAATGTCCAACCTGGACTCCAGATGAGAAAACAGACAGTGAGCTGTAGCTGGGCAGGGATGACTCTGCCTGACTCAACATGGACCCTGGAGAGAGATGACGAGCACGCAAACACACACACACAAACAGACACACGTTTCAAATTGTGTTAAGAGCATCTCAAGGTGGAAATGTTTAATATAGATGAACCCTAAAGGAGAACTTCTAATGGTTTTCCTTCCTGCAAATGTCGAGCAGGCATGCTCTTAGGTCTGTATTTATAAACTACTAAAAAATTCCTGTCATCCACTGTATAAATCATGGAGAGCAAATGTAAACTCCTGCTTTCAGCATCTCTAATGACCTGAAAATGCAAGCTGATGAGTGTGTAAACAGTTATTATAGACGGCTTATATGACAGAGTGAACAGACTGCATTTACCTGAACTGCTGCCATGCTGCTGATGATAGACAGACGTGTTAAAAGAAGTGCTCAGAGGGGCTTGGCTCTGCGAACAGGAAGTTACGCTGCCTGACCTCCTTTGGTTGCGCAGCTTCTCCTCCCTCCTCCACTTGGCTCTTCGGTTTGAAAACCACACCTGTCAGTCAAACTCCTGTCAGGCCCTTTTTATTGTCTAAGGACATTGTAATTCAGGGATCAAATCTTTTTTAGTAATATTGACGGTTGTATAAGGGCTTGAAAGCTAATAACGGGCCTCCTTACCTGTATCCTAGCTTCAGGTAAGTCAATCTTGTTTGCCAATCTCTCCCTTGCAAAAACATCTGGGTAATGTGTCCGCTCAAACTCTGTGGAACACATTTCCTCATGTCAAATACACAATGTAATCTTTAATTGACAATGACAGGACTACTAGACAGCATTTACCCTGAGAGCACTTGCATCATGGGCTAATGTATTTTAGTATAATCTCTGCATAGAATTAATAAGAAATGGATTTCCACGGACAAGTTCTAGTAGGCATTAACCTGTGTACTGGTCGATTGCTGGTTAATGTGAGCGTTACCAATTATTTTTCCTTGAAACATACAAATCCAGGAAGCTGAGCTGTATCCTTACAACCCTTTTTGAAATATTTATCTGTTGCACTTTGTATCAATTATTTATCATTATGGAACATGCAGAAAGTTCAAATGAAAGGATTCAAGTTTTGCTAAGCACTTTGCTTCAAAGAGGGCTGGCAAAAATGGAAAAGCAGAGGACTCTTTGCAGGTTTCAAGGTAATTCTTTAAAAAAAAAAATGCAATTAAGTGTATGTTTGAATAAAGTAAGATTGCTGTTCCATTTACGGCTAAATTGCCGAATCATTGCTCAACACACACTTCTCACCACGACAGCCTGGCTGAAGGGTGTTCACATTAACCACATTTTCTCTTTCACATAATCATTTCTCATCATGGCAGTTCATTTAAAGTTGACAAACTGCTGACATTTTTGTTGTTGACAAGTTGAAATGTGAACATGCCTCATCCTTTAAGTGACACACTGAGTCATCTTCATGGACCCTGGAGTTTCAGGTCTCAAATTAGAAGCTCCTCTCTGCACTGACCGTTTGTACTCTCATGATTATTTAATCCCAAACTAAACTCCATTTTGAGTTAATGGGTCCAGCTGAAGCTTACTGTATTTAAAAAGACCAAATGATCTGTAATAAACATAGTCAATGTATGTAAGTGAGGTCTGCAAGTTTGTAATTCCTCTAACTGAATCTAAGGTTCACATTGGTAACACAGGGTTAATCAAAAAATAAAGATGGCTCTGTAAATAAAGCCTGTCTCACAAATTATTATAATTGGCATGGTTATAATTGGCGTCTGTGTCAACACATGATTGTTATTGTGCCTTGGCTGTGCACTGAGGTCAGTGTACCTCATTAATGTCATTTGCACAGAGTGACCACACTGATACGTTTCCACTCGGCTGCACAGTGGACATTGCATTCTTATTTAGCTCAGGGCCCTCGGCAGCCAGATCCAGTCAAGGGTGGCTCTCTGATCCCTCTCGGTGGAAACGAGGTTACGAGAGCCATATCCCACTGCATAATACAACCACAGTAATGATGCATTATCAAACCACTGCTCTGCATTTGGCCACGGGCTTTTTGGAGAACATCAGGAATATTTGTTGAAGTTAAGATTGTGGATAATTTGCATCTGGAAGTGATCATGGTGATGCGCAGTATCCCCTGAGGGGACTGATATAGATCCCACGCGGCCAAAAATACGCAAAGCCCGATTGCAGTTTTTAGCCTCATTGTTTGGATTTTAAAAGAAAGGTGCAAACAAGGTGTATAGACTAAAATCAGTTCATTAGGCTGTTGTAAGAGGGGAAAATCAGCAGGACAAGCTGCGACACACTGCCAGTAGGCTGAAAAGCAAAGGGGAGAGCTGTGCGTGCGTTCATGGCCTGACCTTTCTCCAGAGCCTCGATCTGCTCCTGTGTGAAGCTGGTCCTGTTCCTCTGCAGCTTCCTCTTGAGTTGCAGCCTCAGCTGAGACTCTTCGCCCTCGTCCCGCTCCACGGGAACTCCCCCCCCCCTACCTGAACCCCCTCCCCCTGACTCACCCCCCATGCTGCCCTCCGTGTCCAGCAGGCAGCCCTCAGACACTGGTAAGCAGAGAAGGTGATCAAAAAAAGATGCATGTATGAGGAGAAAATAACCACAATAAAGCCAAAATTTGGACAAATGTGAGATTCATATTAGTGCCATGCTGCTTTGAGTTTTTCTGCTGTTTGAGTTTCCCTGCTGACCTGGATGCATTGTGCCGAAAAAGCCATCTCACCTGTGCTGTGTTGTGTCTGAACGCCGGTGGGGTCATGGTACCAGTTGTTTGGCCCACTCCAGTTTGAGCCGCTCTGCAGGTTCAGCATGGTTAACTTCTCATACATACTATGAGTGTCCAAACCACCATGAAGAGAAATAAAGAAGTCTTGTCCTGTGTGTATTTGCCGCTGTTTACTGTCACTTCGGCTCCTGACTGCCTCCTTGAAACCTCCAGTCCGTTCAGAGGCAGGAGCAAAAGGAGGAAGAAGAAGAAGAAGAAGAAGGAGGGGGTTCATGTCGCATGAGTTCACACATGGTTGGCATTGGAATGAATTAGCCTCATGATGACAGACATAAATGGAGCTAGTTACATGCTCGCTGTCGTAACGTGTGTGTGTTATACATTGCTATGCTAGTATACCATGGGGAGAAAGGATACATTAGAACTAACTCTGAAAGCCATGACATTTGACTTTCTTTTAACCCAGTTCTTGATGCTAAATCTAAGAATGTATAAACACACGTGTATGCATAGGAAAAGCAGAGAAGCGATTTGGAGCACACTCACAAATAGTGGCTATGACTTTTTTTTTTTCTTCCAAGCTACATTACACAATATACATGTTTTAGCATAAAGTTCAGTGCAAATACTTGATTCTGACGGTGTTTAAAAAAAAAAGTTCCTTGTTTTCTTCTTTATCATTTGCAGTTTTAGGGAAAAATTCATCCATCAATGAGAGAAAAAAGTAGGCAAATTCATGTCAATAATAAGCCAAATCTCTCCATATACGGCAGCGACACAATGTCAAAGGTCAAACTGTGCTGATTTGGACAAGACGGACAGACACATTTATCAGTTTTTTAAACTAAATGTTGACACAAATGGCTGCAAGATCGATCGCAAAGACTGCACAGGAAGTCAGTCTTACATATCAGTGCTGAATCAGACACATAAATGAACTCTAAAGATCGTATTTTTAAAAAACTTACCAGGAGTCCAGGTAAAATGATGCTGGGGTCCTGCGTGATTCTCTCCTCCTCTGTGGACCCTTATTCCCCCAACGTCTCTCGTTGTGTAGCTTTGTTGACAATACTGTGTGAGTGTAAAGTAGAGAGAAGGAAAGAGATGAAGAGAGTTAGACAGGGTGAGATAGAGTGAAAGAGGAAGGCGGTGGGGATGTGTGTGTGTGTGTGGGGGGGCTCTGGAGAGAAATGCGTCTGTGGGCACTCGTGTCCTCCGAGCGATGGGGAGAGAGGGAGAGAGAGAAAGAAAAAAAAGAGGAAGGGAGAGGGAGCCACGGAGGGGTGACAAAGCGAGTCAACATCAGTGTCAAGTTTGAACTTAATGCCAGCAAGAGGAGGAGGGGAGACCGAGAGAGTGGAGCATAAAGCACAGATAATGGAAAGATAGTGGATGATAAATAGATGATGGAGTTCAGTTTTAGCCATAAATTACACATAAATAGAATCAAATTGGCAGATGAGCGTCCTGAATCGAAACATAAATAAAGTGCTTCACACTTGTAATGGGATGGTTTTAATTAATTCTTTCAAGTTTCCTTAAAAGAGCTTACCGTATAAAGTTTGACTTTACAACAGTTCGATGTATAAAGCTAAAACTCAAAGAAGATTTAGAAGAGTTAAACTTAATACTTGATAATTGATTTTTTCAATTTATCTCCTCAAGACCTTATGCATATACATGTATCTATACATATGTATATAGGTATATGCATATATATTACAGCAAGAATAAATATTTGTTTGCAAACTATCAGTGATAGGTACCATGAATTTTAAAAATTGGCTTTCCCTATCAGAATTGCCACATGTGAGCACAGTACTACTTCATTTTAATCTTTTGGAATGAAGAAATTCGTGTTAATTTGAATTTTTTTCTACAGAAGCATTAAACAGCAATATGAACACATCTAATTTCTTACCTTGCAACACAAAAAAAAATGGTCAGACTTATGGAGACTAAAACAGCATTGCACTGGACTACTTGTCATATCCTCTCCATGCAAAACACTATATTTCCCCTCTGCCAAAAACTGACGTTCTGCAATTAAACACTGTGCGTCTCTGTGTACATTTATTTAAAAGGATGTGTAATAATTCTCTAAGCAGATGGTTTTGGACGAGAACTTGTGTTCAAGTTTTGCATCTTGATGCATATGAATTGGATGAATGTTTTTTTTCCTTACAATAGTAAATAAGACACTGACACTGAGGCAAATGTTTTGTCTTGTGCATCTTTCATTTAGCAATTTGCTTGGTTGCCCCACAACTTTAATCATTTTATAGTGATGGTTAGAAATTTTGTTAAAAAGGAATTTCGTGACAGAAAATTAAGGAGGAACATTATAGAATTACCTGATTTTTTTTTTTTATATTCACATTTCCTACTTGTATCCAAATGCATTTTGTGATTACGATCCTGGTGAGAACTCCTGTGGCCTCAACGTTTTTGTCATGAAAACAGCTTTAGAGAACTTACTGACTGGAATTTCATTCAGAAGCTAAACCAATCAAATTAACAAATGATTGAATCATATTAATTGATGAAAATTATACATAGATATTTTCAGTGTCAAATTTTTGTAATTTTCAAATTCACTGATTGAACATTCTGATATTTCAGCACATAATTCTACTCTAAAGAGCGCAGTAAGGTCTATTTCATCTTACAGAAAATGGGGATAATTTAACAATGATAACAATAATACATTTAGCATATATAGGTTTTTCATTACTGATTATATTTGAAAGAATAATAATACTTGAATTCATCATAGCATATTCAGAATAAACCATTTTTCATCAAAATAGGCATCTATGTTAAAACTGAAAGATGATCGACAGTTTTTATTCTTTGATTAATTCAATCCTGTGGTTCATTAGAGTGACAGAAAGAACAAAAATCGGATGTGAGGAACAGTGATTAATCGATTCATAACTGAAAAATTATTCATCGTTGCTGATTTGGTTTTCTGTTTATCGCTGTATTTTTTAGTGCAGCTCTACATTGAGATGAGCTCCTTTCCTCCAGTCACAATGGGATATTTTGCTTTTGTGGAGTGAACATTTCCATACTTGAGGCTGTGGTTCAGGCCTGTTAAGATGCCGATGCAACTTTTCTGGCCAGGTATTATGCCATGACTAAAGAGGCATTGTTCTCCCCCTGTAACAGAGTCATGCCTGAGGCTGCGGAACAATAAACAAAGGCAACGTAGAGCCCTGGGCAGGTTAGGAAGAAACCCCTGGCAATGGACACATTAGGTCTGATGTGAGGGTGAGCACTGACGCAGGTATGACGGTATGTATGGTGGAGTCAAAGAGCGACAGAAACGTAGAATCTGGGTTTAAATATATCTCTTTGCAGCAGAAGGGAGAGATGGAAGATAGAAGCGGGGAGGCAGAGGGGAGAGAAAGAGAGAGTGAGGAGGAAGTATGTGACTTTGGGGTGGGTGTAGGGGCTTGGGGATGGGGAGGGTGCCAGCTTGTTTTATTTCCGGTTGACAAGACTTTGCGCTCCCTTTCTCTCTGTCGCTCCCTCTCTCTTTCATACTCTGCTATTCTTTCTTTGCTTCCCCCCATTGCACCCCCTCATCATACCCTCCCTCCCTTTTCTGTTACTTTCCTCCAAGATGCGCCTAAGAGAAAGAAAAGGACTTGACAAGTTCAAAGGTAAAAACTAGTAAAAACCCGTGGTGGAAGATGCATACAGACACTTCACTTACGAAAGAGAATTACAAAACATGATTAAAAGTTGAGGTCCGGCATTCAGATGTTTACTTATAAAAGTAGCACTATTTCAAATATGTCAAGTGGTGATTCTTATTGCTGGCACATAAACCCTTCATCAGTGTTTTACTGTTACAGATGGTTGAATGCAAACTCAGTCTAGCCACTTTCCGTGCTGCTGGGTAAGTCATCCTCATCAGCCTCCGGTTATTGTCTAAAACTGAAAAGGAAACGAAATCCTGCTAAAAACAATGAGAGCAAAATTGGGACAAACAGCATCGGATGTAATCATCAACGTCTGCTGTTGTTGAAGTTGTCGTTCGTTGTTTTCAAATTCTGGGCACCGCAAATACATTAGACCAAATTGCTGCATCTATTTGAACCACAGTGACACTCTTCCATGATGAACGCTCTTTGCTGCTCATACAAACAGACACGTTCATGTTTGAAATATTTGTAGGCAGAAGGCGAGGGGAAAAAAAAGACACTCAACCCGAAACCCATTGTTGTGTACTTTGCATTTAGTTGTTGGGAGTCAAATGAGGGGAAGATCAGGTTCCAAAACTGTTTGATGAACGCACAAATACATTTTAAAATTATTGTTTGAACCCAGCACACGGGCATCCACCCCACCCCGGTGTTTTTGAAGCTGGCTAACCTTTTGTTTTTCAGAAAACACGGCTGCATCTTATTGTGTTGCAGTTGTTGGAATGTGGTTTAACCCATGTGATCCCATTGCGCTGCGTGCAATAATGAGTGTGTGAGCATGCGCCAGTGTGTGGGACGGCGCGTGCTTTACTGCAAAGATTCATGTAGCTCCAGGACATGCATTTTTTTTAGTGCATCTTGTTAGTTCAGTCCTGTCACCTCTCTCTCCCTCTCCTCCCGCCATCCCTTGCTTTTTCTGCGCTGAAGGGGGGATGGGGAAGGGGAGGTGGACGAGGACTGGGAGTGGAGGCGATGGAGGTGGAGGCAGTCACCATGGTTACAATGCCACGACAAATATTCATCAAGTTGTTAAAATAAAAACAAACCGGAGTGCATTATAATTGCTCTTGCTGACTGGATCCAATAATGTGTTCATATATTATGTGTGAGGGGAGCAGAGTGGGAGGGCCCACACTCACAGAAACGCTCCTGGTTATGAAAAGTGAATATCTGCTGACCTCCAGACACAAACATGACACACACAAATACACATTAGTGCACATTTCAGCCCTTTCCGTGTAACTTTTTTTTTCCCTGTTACCTGCTTCTGGAATTTCCTATGAGTACTTTCACAAGTCTCTCCTCTCTTTTCTCTTTGTCCCTCCATCTCTCGCTCTTCCTGTACTGTTGTGTAGCCTCAGGCGATACTGTGATGTGTCCTCCCTCTGTCCCTCCCTCCCTCTCCCTCTCTCTCTGTCCCTGTCACCTTCAATTGCTCTGTGAAACTAGACACACTGCCTGGGGCGGGAGAGGGGGAGGTTGGGAGGGCGAGATGCACGGAGGGTAGAGAGGAAAAAAAAGGAGAGACAGACAGCTTCATAGACAGACAGAAGGAAAAAGCATTTGGTGACATGTAAAAGAAAGAGGATCAACATTGCCCAGATGTGTAGCACATTTTGAAAATCAATCACGTGAGCATTTGCAATTCAACATAACTCTCTCATAATGCGTCTTAAAACAATAGCAATGCACATCCAGTCAGTTTAGGGCAGTGTTTGACCCTTGACCTGGTGGAGTGTCTGTCAGTCAGTGTTTCACTTTGGAATGCTACTTATCCTGTGTCGTGTTTGTGGACTCCCCTCAGTCAGACACCTGTTAAAGGGATATCCACATTTGTTATTTGTTCCTCTAAATACTGAGCCATAATGCGATCAAAGATCTAAAAGTAGTCAGAACCACAACCTCACACTGGGCCTCTCCCAGGGAAGATGAAAATGTCCTGGAAATGTTAGAGGAGGTTTGAGGTCCGGATAACTGGCCTTGCTCATATGACTATTTAGTTCTGGAAATCAGTGTCAGTATCAAGATTTGGAGATCTGGTTTTGAAATTCTGAACTCCACACTTAGGGAAAAATCTGCCAAAGTTTCTAAATGTTTTGGAACTTTAGAAAGTTTACATAAGTGGCATGAATCCGTTTTTTATTTAATGTTGATGTAATTTATTCATTCATGAATTTGTTTTCTATGTATGGAGTAAGGGAAGAGAAATTGACTCAAAGGTATATCAATTTAGGCCAAACATTACATTTCCATTTGTGCTCTTGTGTTTGTGACACTTCTAATTATCTAAAGATCCGTGCACTCTTTCTGATTTTAAAACTGTTGATTTTAAACTCGTACTTGATTGTCAATTCTCCTGTACCCCTGGTAATCCCTTAGGATACAAACATCTGCTAAATGCATAATTGTAAATGTCAGTGTAAATTAATCTATAACTACAGTAAAAAAAATTTACTTCTTACAGGAAAAATGTTGAAGTAAGGAATCAGAGCGTTACATTTAAGTTTTATTGGTTTTACATAAAGGTTGAAAATGTTAAATACTTCTAAACAAGTAAAGAGAGCTTGTCATAAAACAGAAGAACCTTTGCTTTACGTCTGTGTTCGGGCTCGCTCGTGAGAAGCCCTTTTTTGGGGGGGATTGCATTCGATTTGAAGAGCTGACTCCAATTTCTCGTCCGACCAGTTGGTTAAGATTTAGCACTTCCATTATGCGTCAGAGTGTCACTTTTACTTGTAATTTCAAACGTAGAGATTCCCAAGAAAGAGCATAATTGGTCCTCGTATTCCTTCGGTTTCATTGGCCCAGATGGAAAACTGAGGCAGGACAACACTTCTGATTGGGTGTGGCGCGCAGGTAATCAGTGAACGCTGCACCGAGGCGTTTACCTGGCTTTAGAGCAACAGTTATCCATGTATATATGTGCTCTTTTTTTGTACCTGAACCTCCATTCTAATGGATATTTTCTTTTTGGTGGACATTCGTCTTAAGGATTTATTTTAGCTTGAAGAAATGTAACTTCCAGCTCAACGTTTTGCTCGAGTCCCGCTAATCTTAAGATATAAAAAATTGTCTTCGAGATAATATCGGCTCCAGTATCTTCGAGGGACTTTTTGATCTGTGACTGCATCGCAAAAAAAACCTGTCAACATGTCAAAAACTAGTTCGCTTTTTGCCATTTTCTGGTGCTTCTCAGGTGAGTGGACGCCCGTGTCCCCAGTCCTCCGGCCATAGCGCTTCTTTGTTCGCCTGAAAATAAGACAGCGTGTACTTTTTTCCTTCTGCCAGGCTCATTTTGTGTTCGGAAAGGGGAAACGAAGTTCGCTTGCTTTATTGTCAGGGAATATTAACTATCGTGGATGTGTTTATTTAGGCATTAGTTGCTGTTACGCCGTAGAATGCGGCATCCCGCCGTTAATGGAGAACAGGATTGTGGGAGGGATGGACGCCCCTGAGGGATCTTGGCCCTGGCAGGTGGATATACAGGTAAATCACTCTGAAAACTACATTTCTCCCCCTCTGAACCACTGAGTTTGAATGTTTTTTTTAGCAGACGTTTTGTTGTGGTTTTATTTTGTACTCAAACTAAGCTGCTGAGTGAGGGATCTGATGCAGGGGTGACTGGTTGTTGTTTTTTTTTTCTCCTCCAGAAGTCGAATGAACATGTGTGTGGAGGCTCCATCATCAATGAGAACTGGGTCCTTTCAGCAGCACATTGTTTTCCCAAGTAAGAGATCCCTCCACAAGTACAATACGGCAGGCTTAATTCACGGCAGAGCTCCTGCTTTCTTTCTGTATTTCTGCAGCATTTGATCAGTATCTTTAGGTAAGCTGCATTAGGTCTGCTTACTTCTTTCAGGAAATTTGTTTGTTTTTTTCAACTGGAATGTTAAAATGTTCATATTCAAGATGAGACGCATTCACCTGATGAAAGCTTTTTGTGTTTTTCTTACTGCTTGCCCATTCATGTGATTAATTGCATTTATGTGCCAACAGTGTCAGTCAGGATATAATTACATCTTTCAGAGAACAGCTGCAAAGCCCGAAACCTCTAATACCTGGTTCTGCCACTCTGAATTGTACTGGTTTCACCTTTCAGGTCCCTGTTTTAGGTTTCATGCTCAGCATGTTTAAAAGTGTCTCCATCTGTCCCCCTTCAGTCCCAACGACCTGGGTTCTTACGATATCTACGTCGGTCGGCACCAGCTGAATGGCTTCAACCAATACCTGTCAGCGCATGGCCTGAGCCGCGTGGTGATCCCACCCGGCTACAGCGAGCCTCACGACGGCAAAGATCTAGCTCTGCTGCAGCTGTCCAGTCCGATAACCTGGTCTGATCATGTCCGTCCCGTGTGTTTGCCCGCCTCCGGCACCCTGTTCCCAGCTGACAAGATGTGCTACGTCACTGGCTGGGGGAACATCCGGGAAAACGGTACGGCTCGCCAAACTCCAAAATGCCAGAAAGTGCTTATATCAGGGGCTCTGGTAAATATCAATGGGAATAAATCACAATTTTCCCACTTGAGTAAGAGATGTATTGTTTAACGACAATATACCTTTATTATAAGATTTGTGTTGCTTTCAAAGATGAGCTGTGATTATGGGTCGTTCAGGTTTCAGGTTCAAAATATTTCATGGCTTCTTTGCTAATGGAAAAAAAAAAGATCTAAAAGGCAGACCGTTTATTATTTTCCTTTGCGCCATGTTAACTAGCAGGTCAAAAAATAAGGAAGTCGTCCCACACTACTTGTCCGTATCCCCCTCAGTCCCTCTGCAAGGAGTCGGGACTCTGCAGGAAGTACAGGTGCCAATCATCTCCCAGAGTTCATGTCAGGAGATGTACCTAACAGACCCGGCGGAGCAGGTGGACATCCTGTATGACATGATCTGTGCTGGATATCAGGAGGGTGGCAAGGACTCCTGCCAGGTACGGTTGAATCAGCTGCACGTGTGCTGCTGTCTCAGAATGTGGAGCTCTTCTTTCTGTGCACTTATCCACTACTTTATTGTACCTCAATCTCCTCCCGGGGTTGTAATCTGAACAAGTGCGTGTGTTTGTGCTGTCTCTTAAGGGAGATTCAGGAGGGCCTCTGGTCTGCCAGATGGTTAATGGGACCTGGGTCCAGGCCGGGGTGGTGAGTTTCGGACTGGGCTGTGCCAAAAGAAACAAGCCTGGCGTGTATGCAAGGCTGACCAGCTTCTCAAACTTCGTCCTCGGTACGGTTCCTGAGCTCAAACTGTATGGCCGCGCTCACCAGAGCTGGTATGGGAGTAATGTGTTGGTGGTTAGCTGTCTGTCCCTGACTGTGCTGCTGCTTCAGGGATGAACTGAGGTAGACTGTACAGCCATTTATATGAAGGAGATTAACTATAAAAGTGTCTCTTGTGGTCCTGAATTGTTAAATTAGAAGCTTTTACTTTTGTTTGAAATGCACACAAAGCCATAAAGAACTTTAAGCTAACTAGAGCATGTTTAGACTTTTAATTGTGATTATGAACATTGATTCAAAGTAGATTTGATAGTTTTGTACATTAAATCTGACTTATAAATTCTGTATTTTGGATTTGAAATAAATGTAACATTTTATCATCTGTCAAATCTGCTCAGTCCCTTACAGGTTTGTGTGTTACATTTTAATTGAGTTTTTATTTGCTCCTTCTAAAGTACCCTTATACCTGTTTTAGATTTAAATACACAAGGTACCCATGACACGACACCTGTTGGGTGAGTTTTTTTATATGCAAAACTTACTTTCTTTAAAACTTGTTAAGTGAATTATCATACCTTTTAAAATGGTTTTTAAATGAGGGATTATTGCATTCAAATAAATATACAGCATCAGAGATGGTTGAAGCATTTGTTTTATCATGTAGACAAACGCAGCATGTCATGGTTGAAAAAAGAAAGACTGCTCGGTCATGCCTTATTACTTTGAAAGCAAAAACAAACACATCCAAGTGTTTTCTTCACGGAGCAGCCTGTCAGGCGTCTGGGGGAATGCTATCCGAGAGGATCATGGGAGAGCCAAGCTGCAACTCCTGCTGCAGCGACTCCAGGTCGGCTGGAGTCATGCGGTGGACCTCGCTCCAGTCGGATAAGAGGGAGGCCGAGAGAGGGGCCGAGTCATAACTGATGAAAAAGACAAAAAAGCACAACTATTGAAAAAGTGCTAATAAAATAGCTGTCTTGGAAAGGCAAGACAGGCTGACCATTCAGTTAGTTAAAGTCAATGAACCATGCTTTGGGGAAAAAAAAAGAAAAAACAATCTGCTATAACTATTTAAGACATAATTTTCTTGGAGCTCATAGCTAAGAGGCTTGTTTGCAAATATCACCCACAACTGTTTGTGTGATTTTTAACAGCTGTTGAGGACACTGGTCGATGAAAATAAAGAAATGTGAGCTTTTGACTACGCAAGTGAAGATCCGGTGGCTCCGTGAACATGTAATCATTTCATCCTGATCTCTTTTTTTTTTTTTTGAATGATGGTGCATCTGCTCATAATTCCAACAGTGTTGATTAGCTGTTGTGATAGCTGATTTGCCACCCCTTAGATTTGTTGTTTCCAGATAAAAAGATAAATATTTGTTTTACTGAGGAATTATTTTTGGTCTTTAAGTCAATGTCAGTGGTGCTCAGATATTTTTGAATATCACTAAATGCACCTTGGACAAGACTAGAAAAGTGGGTAGACCTTTTAAAAGAAAGCTTTTATTTTTATTCCTTTTTTTTCATCCCCTAAACAAGCTGCATCAGACCTCACCTGTCCCGGTCACAGTGTTGCAGGTCTGTCAGAGACTGGTTGAGAAGATCATCCAGGTCAAAGCCCACGCCGTACCCTGCTCCGCTGCCCTTAGGGGTGACTGAGAACACAGGAGGTAAGACGTCCTCCACCTGACAAGACCAAAAGTGAAAAAAACATTGGGTCAACAGAACTGGTTCAAAGCGAGGAAGTGGTTGTAATGTGTCAGCCTAGCGTGTTTGTGTATATTTTACATATAAGGAAATTATGTTTTTTTTTTTAAGGCAGTGAGTGTGCTCTGATTAGAAACAATCCAGACCTGGGACTTTGAGAGCTGAAGAGTCACTGTATGGATGTCGGGGGCAGTAGACGGGCCTTGCTGCCCAGTGTCTGTAAAACCCAGGCTGGGGTGAGGCTGAGTGGGAACTCCTAGCGTGCCACAGAGACGGTTGGTGCTCTCTGCGGCAGTTTTCTCTCCTCCGGTGGGACGGAGCTTCTCCATTGATCCTGTACCTTCAGGCAAGGGGTTGAGGCTATTCTGACTCCTGATGTCCACGCTCCCGTTTGTCTCTCTGGTGCTTATTGTAGGAGCTTTGGACAAAAAACTCTCCAGTGGCAGCAGCTGGGGGTCGGGCTGGGTTTGACCCTGTGGCTGAAGGAAGCCTGCTGGTGACGTCTGTGATGTCCTGCTCGCTTGCTGCGGTGGCCTTGTCTCCAACTGCTGGCTGCCCCAGTTCCCCAGGCAGGTGAAGCCGCTTTGCCCATTGCTCTCAGTGTGATCTTTGAGGGTGTGGTTTTTAGCAAATCCACGTGTTACAGCCATTATGTCCACCATTCCCCCACTCACAGCAACGACTAGGTCTGCCGGAGGCTTCCCCTGGCTCATGGAGAAAGGTCCTGGCGGTTGCTGGGTGCTGGGAGGATGAAACAAGCCCGGGTGGTTTGGTTTTACTTGAGAGATTAACTGCTCAGGAGGGTGAATCTTCCTCAGCTCCTTGTCTGTTTTATTGTTCAGTGCACCTTGAGTGTTATCACAGGTGACGAGACCTCTGTGGGAGTTCATGTTACAATCCTTGTTCTTTGACCCTTCGTTATTAGCAGTCTGCGATTTTTCACTGGAGCTATCCATCATCTTTTTCCAGCGCTGCAAAAGGCTTTTGTCGTTGTCACTCAGCAGAACCCCACCCAGCGAATCGCCTTGTTTTCCCTCCTTTCTCTCCTTTTCCTTCATTTTCCTCTCCCTCTCTCTTGCTCGTTCTTGCCTCTTCCTTCTTTTCTCCTCTCTTTCTCGTTGACGCTCCTGGGCTGTGACAGGCCGGCGCGACTCTGGAACAGAAGACATGGAGGACGATGCGCCTCCTCCTGAGCCAGAGTCGATTCCCAAAGCTGGGCCACTTCCATCTGCAACGAGGACATCACACTCTGTTTAAAGGAGGTTTACACAATCAAGTGTCAACGAGAGGGCATCGTGGAAAAGAATGAACTTACCACTCCTGGCTCTGTGCCTGATGGCTGATTTCAATAAAGCTGCTTTAAGAGCAGTTTTGGTTTCCTCTGAAATGGCCCCTTCTTTTCTAGTTCCCTCTGCTGCACATGCAGGAGGCCTCACATTCTTAGACAGGGACTGAGAAAGAGACTGGGAAAGTGACTGGGCCTGCGCCACAGAGAGAGACAGGGAGGGTACGGTGGTGGGTAGAGGTGTTATGGTCTGTGCTGGTGCTGCAGGGATGGAGGCGGGAGGCTGGCTCATGGACTGGCTCTGGGTGTTTTGAGCCCGCGGAGCCTGGCTGCCTGTTAGCTGCTCCTGCGCCTCACTGTCTCTCATCGTTTCTAACGGAGGTTCTTGACTAGAGACTGGTGTTGTCAGGTCTATGGTCTCGGGCTGACCGCTGTCCGAGTTGGCACTGGGCATATCGACATCAACTGGACCACTCTCATTTTTACTGAGGAGAGGCAAATGATGGGTCACATGAGGGGGGACTAAGAGGGCTGCTGGCTTGTTGAAGGTTTTCATGGGATTTGTAAATGCATTATTCACTTCTGCTGGTGGGAGGTCTTGTTGCTGTTGAGACTTTGCATCTCGCATTTGCTGTTGCTGCATCTGCTGCGTTTGTGGGTATTGTGCCATTGGAACCACTGCTGATTTAGTCAGGTCGACAGTTGCAGACTGAGCATTATATTGGTTGCTGCATTGTGCTGCAGCTCCACTACTCACCCTTGGCAAAGGCCTGAACTGCAGCCTCTGACGACAACCCTGTTTTTTTCTATGAAAGTCCTGGATTTCCATCAAAATAGCCTCTTTAATTTGTTCCTTGTTCATCGGAAGTTTATCAAACTCGAAGTCAAAGGCTGGTACACAAATAGGCTCGTCATCTGGGTCGTGGTACTTGGCCAGGTAAGGATGCTCCAATGCCTCGGTGACGCTGATTCGTTCTCGTGGATCAAAGCGCAACATGGCCCCCAGCAGGTCCAAAGCCTCTGGTTCAGCTTGTGGATACAGTTTGGCCAAAGGCACAGCTGTCCTTGACGGAAGGCTCTGAACATAGGAGCGCACCCTGTCAGCCCTAATAGCACAGATTAAACCCTCAGGGGGGGTTCCTAACACGCTCAAAATAAGTTGGAGCTGGTGTACGTAGTGCTTCCCAGGAAAAAGCTGCTTACGCCCCAACATTTCAGCAAAGATGCATCCCACAGACCACAAGTCAATGGCCAAACTGTAATGATTCAGAGACAGCAGGAGTTCGGGGGCGCGGTACCACCGTGTGGCGACATACTCAGTCATGAATGAATATGACTCCTCGGGGTGTGAACTCAGACCCCTCGCCATGCCAAAGTCACCAATCTTTAGCTCACAGTTTTCATTCACAAGGAGGTTGGAAGGTTTGAGGTCACGGTGGATGACGTTGGCAGAGTGCACATATTTAAGGCCTCTGAGCAGCTGGTAGAGAAAGTAGCGTGTGTGCTCGGGGGTCAGCGTCTGGGCAGAGTGTATGATCTGATGCAGGTCGCTCTCCATGAGGTCCAGGACCACGTACCTGTATGTCCACGACAGAGAGACAAGGGATGAGCTATGTACACAATCAGTTCTACATAATCTTTTTCATGACTTTAGCTTTTAGCTTTTTTAGCACATGGACAGAGAATGGTCATCGTTTGCTTTCAAAATAGCAATAAAAAAAAATGAAACAAGGAACTTACACCGACTTAAAAGCAGAGTGAGGAAGGTTTGGCTGCAGGATGTCCTTGATGGCGATAATGTTGTCATGTTTGAAGTGCTTGAGAATCTTTAGTTCTCTTAGTGTGCGTTTGGCATTTGTCACCACTTCAAAAGCATTGGAGATCTTCTTTATTGCTACTTGCTGGCCTGTGAAAAGCCAGAATATGAGAGAGAGAGTGCTCAGCGGCAGACTTTGTTAACGATGACCTTACATATTAATGATTTCTAGTAAGAACGGTACATTTTCTGTCTTGTCTTTAAAACAGACCTACCATTGTCCCTTCGCCTGGCAGATGAAACAACACCATAGGCCCCTGTGCCGATGGTTTCTATGACATCGTACTCCTCTCCAACATCGAACTTCACATCTAGAGAGTGTGCTTTAAGTAAAGCCAGGTTTTTTGCTGCTGTGCTGGTGTCTGTGGTGCTGCCTACCACCTCAACTCCATGCCGATTTTGGTTTCCTCTGCTTTTGTCAGTTGCCATTCTTTCTGAGGAATCCACAGCTTCACCATTTTGACCATCCTCAATATCTTTAGTTGACATTGTCATTAAAATAATGACTAAGTGGTAGGCATTCAGTGAAATCTGTTTTCTGAAAACGATGTACAAAAGAAACATATTAAAAATTGTTCCATAATATCAATATGCTCTGAAATAACACATTTCCATATTTCCAGCAACCAAACATATACTTATATACATTTTTTTACTTGAAGATCAGTCAGCAACTATTATGATATCAGATAAAGTAGTTCCAGATTTAAAATAATCAATTGTGAAACGTTTAGGTCTCTCGGTTGATTAAGCAGGATGCTGACGAAAGTTACGTCGCAAAATTAAATTCATGATTATCGAAAACCAGTAACTTTACAATTTTAGGCCTGAAGTAGACAGAACCTGTAGCTCTCAGACAGATGAATGCAAGTGAATAAATAGAGACAGACTAACATATAGCTGGTTAAAAATATAGTTTGGCTTTCGCCCAACATGGTGCCAAAGGGCAAAGTATATGATAACGATGCAGCCTTACCTACTTCTTGACGCAGGGGCGTAGGCTAGGCAACGTTACCTGAAGCTCTGTCTCTATACAGTCGGTTTAACCATGTCTTTCTTGGTTATATAGCTATACTGTACTGTATAAGTATGTGTTTACAAATACCGAAATATACTTTATACTTCAGAGCCAACAACAACATCTGTATTGATATGTTTTATCACAAACTGACACGTTTTTTTCTTGTTTTGTCTGCCGCTTCCTCATGCAGTTCCGTGTATGGGTTTGAGTACCATTTGACACACCAATTAGAAGACGGGATTTCGGTACAGCTATCCAATGGGAATAGAGGACGTGGTTTGGAGGCGGGGAATTCCGTTGGACAGTAGGGTCTCTGTGTTTTATTTATTTATTTATTTTTGCGTGGTGACGTCGTTTTAGGCAGCATGATTATTTTTTATTGGTCCATATCAGCTAATTTACCTACTTTTAAAAATTAGTTTCTCTAACGAAACATCCCGAGACAGGTACGACCAATTTTAGTGCTGGTAATAATCCAGAGTGTTACTGCAATGCAGGCTGGGCACCGCGCTACAAAATGTGAGGATAATCCCATTTCCATTGCACGTACCACGGTGATATTCTTGGTACATTCATTTTAATTCAGTTAAACGAATATCTGCATTAGAAAACCTGCTGCGGCGTCCATGAATCATGTTGGGGGTTATTAGCAGTTTCCCAAATAAAGAAAGAGGTTAAAGTCCACAATAATTATTCTGCCCATCTGGCTAGCTCAACATCTGGGCCAGACTGTCCAATGACAGGTAGGTACAAAATACGTGCGGACCAATCAGAAGTGAGAATCTGAGGGGCAACACGTCGCCACGAACTGGAAGAAAATTGAGTGAAATTTGAAAGACGAATCTTTTTTAGACCGGCTAATCCGTCACTTCGGTGTGTTTGTGGGGCTATAAATTATCCTGCACGTGCACACATGGCTGTTGCTCAGGGTTTGCCCGGATGGGAGAGAAACGTACGCGTGTTTTTGTGCCTTTTCGGTGTAGTTTTGTCTGTTTATGCCCTTCATGTCGAGCTGTCCAGGGAGAGAGACCCAGACTACAGGGCGATGTGCGACCTGGGGGAGTCTGTGAGCTGCTCCAAAGTTTTTACCTCCAGGTATGACTTCATTCCTCGTTTTATTCCGTAGAACCGGTCATTTAAGCGACCTTAAACGACCGTTTCTTGTGACCTGATAACTATTTGATGCCTTTCCAACCCCCATTCTTTGCCACGTGTAAACAAATTCCTTTAGAAAGTCCTCCCCACGCAGTGTGAAAACACGAAAGGAAAGCACTGATATTTAATTTCTGAAGGTCTTTTGTTTCTGATGAATACAAAAATGCGTTATTGATCAGATATACTTCTCAATCTCATTGACAGATGTAATTTAAAAATGAATGCATGCGCGTTCTGGTGCAGATAATATATAGATGATATTCTCAAGAATGTGTTATGTTGCCCTCACTGTTACCTCCTCTTTTTTTCCCTCTTGGCAGATGGGGTCGTGGTTTTGGTTTGGTCCAGTTCCTTTTGCCCAAAGATAGTCTACTGAACCAGCCCAACAGTGTGCTTGGCATCCTATTTTACACTCTACAAATGGCCCTTGGTGAGTCTGTGGTAAAAAAAAATTAAAAAAAAGACTGTCCTTAGTTTGAAAGTCCTCAGTTTGTCATAGTTTGACTGCATACAGTTATTTAAGGGTATACATGGTGGTTTTAAATGTGTTCTGAGGGACTGAAATTTTGTGTTTGCTGTTTTTTGCAGGACTCTCTTTGTCTAAAAAGGCAGCATTAGTGTTGGTCATCTCCTCCTGGGTTTCCATCGCTGGTTCAATTTATCTTGCATCAATTCTGGCCTTTGTTCTGGGAGATTTCTGCATGGTTTGTGTGTCAACATACATGGTCAATTTTGCATTGCTCTATACCAACCTGAAACGAAGAGGAGCTATTGAAGCAATGAAGAAAAAGACTGGATAGAAGATGCATAAAAATGTCAACACCTTATTTTGGGACTGTTTCAGGACAGAAATGAGAAAAGACGGATGATAATTTTTTTTGTCTAGCATTTTCCTTTTTTACGAATCTCAATTACACACCTTTGAACTCTACCTCCTGTCTGCTCTGATTTAAATTGATCATAAACCGTTTTAATGAAGCCAGTGTATTGATACAGAGTCTTGCCATTGCTTAGTTCTGCCAGCAGATGGAGCTAAATACTCAGTTTTCTTTCTAAGTCCATTTGCATTTACTTAATGCTGACAGGGTACAAAGGTAATGTTGACAGCTTTCTTTTTAAATAACATTTATAAACGGCAGTATTTCTGTGATATGGATAAGAAAAATAAAAAAGCGGGAATGTGAACCTTAGATCTTTTTTGCAACCATATTTTATGTTTTCATTAAGTAAAAGCTTCCTCTCCACTTCCCTGAATTCTTGAGAAACTGGGTGATTTAGCATACGGCCGTGACAAAGCAGCTTACCCTCGAAACAACACCCAGCAACAACAGATGACTAAAGATCACTTGAAAATATCATGCATTAGTAGACCACTAAGTTCTATTTCTGTGTGAGTGTGGCAAGAGAACTGAAAAACTTGCTGTCTTCTGTATTCCAATGAAGCAACCGAGATCGGTGACCTCAGCTTCCCTATTGTCATACTTTGCTGTTTTTAAAGGGAAAAGTTTGTGTTATACAGTACCGTATAATGTCAAGCATTTCATAATAGACCTAGTCTTGTTCTTACTATTCTGTAGAGGATGTTACTGTGAATTCAACCCATGTACAGTGGTGTGTAAAAGTGTTTGCCCCCTTCCTCATTTCCTGTTCCTTAGCATGTTTGTCACTCTTAAGTGTTTTGGAACATCAAACCAATTTAAACAGTAGTCAAGGACAACACAAGTTAACACAAAATGCAACACTTTTTCACGCCACTGTATGTAGGCCTGTGGGTACCCAATCTGAATACCAGTTCAAAGAGTTGTATCACTTTGTGTGATTTCAAAGAACGATATGAACAAATTACATCAACCAGTTGTCATAAGCAGGAAGAAAGGACGCAGGTGGTGCCAGCTGTTTCAATCTAGTTTGATACCAAATCAACTCATTTTCACTTCTCTTTTTTACTTTCATAACTCTTCCTGTTTCAATCACGTTTACTCATTGTAGCCCTTTTGGAGTTAGTAATTGGTATTTAGGTATTAATGGGGAACAACATCGGTAGGCACAGACAGTCACCTACGGACTCACTACATAGCTACTGGGTGGCAAAGTGAGCGTAACCGTTCAATTGTTAACAACACGAGTTACTCTCACACCATTCATCAGTCAGCTGTGGACAGTATAAAAAATGGGGCCTGGCATTGTGTTGTTGAAATAAGGGTCTTGTCTTTAAAGGGCACCTTATTGAATGCAGTGCACGTTGCCACTGGTGGTGCTTTTCATAGATGTGAGTTATATATCTCACGCAAACCCGCATATGTAAAGTTTGCATATAATTCTCTGTAAGTTGTTTGAATCTTTGGGTTTTTACAACGTGTCATTAGTAATGTAAATGATTAACATCAGTAGTTTCGTTAAGTTTTCCATTTCTGCTTTTCTGTTGCATTAACAGTCAGCGATGATTAACCCCAATGACTTTTTATTCACACATAGATTACACAACCACTCCAGGCAGTAGAGGAACATGTTTGCGACTGACATTAGGACACCACTAAGGAATACAAATGGTCTGTTTGATTCATATAAAAAATCATCCACAGTGATGGGCTCCTTCACCTGTACAACCAACAATTTCCAGTTCCATCACACACTTATAGAGAAATGTGTCCTGTGTTGTCTGTCATTTATAGTTTTTTTTTCAAACATAGCATGAACTTAAAGTGAAATAGCATATCAAGGCAACACAACACAATGTACCATGTATTGTATTTTCTGCCCTTCTTAGTATGATTACATTGTCAATCTAATAGAAAACACACAACTGAGAATCGTTCCATCCTACTTTTTTTTCAACCACTGGGAGAGACTGAGAGAATACTTCACATTTAGTCAGGCCAAGTCTATAGATCTGTGTATCTGTGGGATGAATAGAGCATTATATGAGCTTCTGCTCTGGAAATGTTTGGAGGCAAGCGGATATTTAAATATGGCTTGTATATACCAACTTATGTCAGAAAATCTTTCAAATGTAGTATAATTTTTAAGGGTAAGTGTTAAAGAGACTATTTCATGGTGGTTATAGCTGGAAAAAAAATACAAGCAAAGAAGTAGCTGCATTATCGTAATTGCACCGCATTTGACACAATTCATCTCAGTTTTTGAGCTGTTTCCTTTTTTTGTTTTCCGTTACTTCTTAATTTAATTTCATCACTTCCTTTTTTTTTTGTCAAGGTAGCAAATGTGTTTTACACTACATCAAGTTCTGGTTTCTTCACATGCTTATCCTATTCATTTCTCACAATATATTCTTCATATTCTCCTGCCCTACAGTTAATTTATACAGTTATGTCATACATAGAACTTTTTGTTCTCCACTTGTGCCACTTAAAGCAATTATGTTAGAGCTTAATTTTATTGTAGAGAATTGTTGCATAAAGGAAACGTTTCTTGTGTTATTGGTTGAAGGTTTGCATTTACTTATGATTACTGTGTGAGGCATGTTTGGCTTTCATAGCATTTCTTTAGTGTTGTAAAAATGTGCACAACCGGTGCTGCTTAGAGGCCCCAAAAGGAACACATTACATGTGTTTTTGTTTTATTTGCTAGTCGGGTCTGTTTTAAAAAAAGAGTGGGTCAGACTTACAGAACCAGATGTTGGGAGCTAATTATTGCCACAGGAGTAAGGTTAAGTAGTCAACCAGTAATGAGGACTTCAACACTTGTTCTTTCTCATAACTGGCAGGTAGAGAGGCTGTCCATCTGAGTATTACTCCAAAAGAAATGATCGTGTCGGGCACTTACACTGATGTACAGACTGTTCTATTCAAAGTATTGACATTTGAGAAAAACCCGTTCTTAAATAAGAGTATCAAGGGGAGACGTGCCAAATATGGATGAACTTTATTCTGACTACATGCCTGAAGCAAAAGGGAGGTGCTTACGAGAAAGAGGGACAGACAGGCCTACAGTTGCCCAATATGGCAAGAGAGGTCAATGTTTCAAGGCCTCTAGAAAAAGACTGTGAGGAAACGGTTGTGGTTTTCACATGTTAACAGATCAGCAACCATATATGGGAAGAATTGAACACTAGTTATAAGAGGATGCACCCAAAGTTAGCGATTTCTCGAAGGTTTGATTTCGACTTCGGATTAAATGCATCAGTGCATACATCTGATACAGACCTGCCTAAAGAGGAAAAACAGGAGTTTTTCCATGCAGCATCTTCACATCAATTGTTTTTACACATGAATCAGCTTTCTGTCAAAGTACGATATCATCATGAGAGATGGCACAGAGGGTGTGAAAAGTATCATGAGGTGTGTTTGACGGCAAACATGCTGTCATCATTTTACCCTTTTAAAGTGGGCCAAGCCACTGAACTACATGGCTGCCCCACAAATCATAATGTACATCATTTCATGCTGTTCAAATACCATCACTGGTTTGCCCATGCTTATGACCTCTGCACTGGCTTGTATATAAATGGCTAATCGGGACTTTGAAAAGGGCAGAAATCTGCTATGAAAACGAAAACACTGAAGCAGTCAAACACATTTTATGCAAGATATTTGGCAAAAAGGAAACAACTAAATTTAAGATGGTCACATCTTGGAATGAGGAACTTTTTGAGCTGCCTACCTGTGAAGTATCCCATGGGAGGAGCACACGGAAGCAGGTGAATGCTAAATCCAAGCATATAAAGTGCGACGCGCAGGTTCTGCAGTCACACGATGGCTTTGACTAGACTGATACACTCACTGACTCTAGTGAACCTTCTGTTTGCAGGTATGTGCCCGTGAATGTCCAATATGTGAATAGGATACTTGCCTTATGTGTCGTTTTTAGTTCAATCTGATTCCACAGCATTGTTTGGAGGACCACATAGAGCGAGGGATACCAGGATACATCACGCAGAGAATTTACAGTTTTGACTGGTTTGATTGTGGGTTGCTTTGAAATCCTTATTGATCACAAGTATAACTGTTACTGTCAGTGATTTATTACAGTATGAAAAACATGCTGATTCTGCCACATCGCCTAATTAAGTATCCTAATGAATTATCTATGATAAAGGACTGTCAATCTAATTAATTTATTTTAAGAGGTTGAAAAAGCATCGGGACCGAACACAAAGCAAAACAAGAAAAGTCTGATTAAAATATCAGTTAAATAGATAACCTGAGGTTTACATACTACTTTGTTGAAAAAATTTTTTTGAAGCATTTGTCTGGAATTATTGCACAAAAAGTCTGACTCATTAAATTGTTTGATCTCATTCCTAGAAACACAAGCAAATTTTTATGGTAGGTCCAATAAAACTACTACTTTTCTCTGAGGTGATTCAGTTTCAGCTGATTAAATTAAACTATTTGTCTCACATATTCTGTCTTGCATTGACCGGACTAATCTGTGCCTCAGTTTGCGGCGCTGCTCCATTTAACCCCAGGATAGTTGGCGGTGAGGATGCGGCACCTGGACACTGGCCCTGGCAGGCCAGCCTGCAGATATTTGGCAGTCATTTCTGCGGTGGCTCCCTGATCAACGAACAGTGGGTGTTGACCGCTGCTCACTGCCTCCACGGGTGAGAGAACAGAACTCGGTAAAGTATGTCAGGACTGGGATTGGCAAATATTTGTCTAAGATGGCAAATACAAGGTGCTGTGTTTAAACCTCAAAATGCTGGCATTCCCGAAATGCTTCACGTACAGATATTATGGTATTTGCTCAGGCCTGTAACCAATTCTTATACTATTTATCTTTCAACCACAGAGTTTCACTGCCATATGAAAAGAGAAAGGTCATAACGCAACGTTTTCCTCCTGCCTCTGGAGGAATTGTTGTTTGCAAATTGTTGTTTTTGTAACCTCCATCTTATTTTCAGAATGCTCCCATTTGGAGTTCGGGTGTCTCTTGGTCGTCAGACCCTGCGTGGTGAAAACCCGAATGAGATATCCCGGACTGTCTCGAGAGTCATTATACACCCAGGCTATGGGAGTGCTTACGACCACGACATCGCTCTGCTCGGACTCTCCTCGCCAGTGGAGTTCACAGCCTACGTCAGACCTGTGTGCCTGGCCGCCAGTGGCAGCGTGTTCAGCAGCGGCACAGCCAGCTGGGTCACTGGCTGGGGCTCAGTCAGAGAGGGGGGTGGGTGTTGGTCGAGTTCAGATGCTTGTTTACATTATTCTGTATTTCTATGCGTGATTTGCCTCTGATGTATACACATTTTTTTTTCTCAAAGTGCCCTTACCATCGCCCCAAACCCTTCAGGAAGTGGAGGTGCCTATTATTGGAAACCGACAGTGCAGCTGTTTGAACAGCCATGACAGAATCACAGACAACATGATCTGCGCTGGTCTTCTGAAAGGAGGAAAAGACTCGTGTCAGGTCATCAGCTTTATTTCATTTGTCACCTTTGATGGTAAAAATGTTTAAACATTCTCAATATCCAGACTGTCTGCTTCTCAGGGGGACTCTGGAGGACCATTAGTGAGTAAACAGGGATCCATCTGGGTCCAGTCTGGAATAGTTAGTTTTGGTTTTGGATGTGCTCGTCCAAGTCTGCCAGGAGTCTACTCCAGAGTGTCCCGTTACCAGTCCTGGATCGACTCCCACATCGGCTCTGATAAGCCAGGCTTTGTAAAGTTCATTTCCAGTGGAGCAGATCCTGATAGCAGCTATACCTGTCCAGGTCTTCCATCTTTACAAACAACAAGTCCAATAACAACAAAACCACAACAACTTCCTTCAAGTAAGTGCAGCCACGAGTGCATTCCAGTTGGGATTACCAAGACCTGGCTGACAGGAACAGTGACAACATCCCTCCTGAACCTAATCATTTCCCATCTTGAGTCTTAGGTGCCTTTTTATTTATTTATTTATTTATTTTTTACTATTCACTCATTTAGGAGCAGTCTGTGGCAGAGCGCATAACACTGTGGATGTGAAGAACAAGAGTACTGTCCCTCCTGGAGTGTGGCCCTGGATAGTAAGCCTCCAAAAGAATGGGGTCCATAAATGTGGAGGTACCTTTATTTCTGACAACTTTGTACTGACATCTGCCAAATGTTTCTCTACGTAAGTACGGATGCATTTTTATTGTATTTATTTATTTAAAAGGAAAAGCATATATAGATAATAACAATAATTCCTGACATCCCGCCAACAGACCTCTCTCAGATCTCAGTGAATGGTCTGTGTTTCCAAGTCCACATCCTATGAATGGAATGGGAAACTCTGGAATATCTTTAGGTGTTGAAGACATTACGTTTAGTAACGTGAATGGGCCCATTGCCTTGTTGCACCTGGCTGATCCAGGTGGCTACAGCAAACACATCCCAGCTTGTCTGGACATCTACAGTGAAATATCCTTTCCCATTGGTAGTCAGTGTTGGGTCGCAAACTGGGAAAGTGACAACGAAGGCACAGGTGAGAGTTTATCAAGTCTTTGCGTTCTTTGATTTTTTTAAAATATTGTTACGGGTGCTCACTGGTTGTTCATGATATGCTCATAATTCACAAAAGCAGAATTCATGTTCATGACAGTGACATCTCTCGGTATTTAAGCTAGCGTATTTCTTCGGAGCTTTGAAACTCGGGTGACAAGATGTGGAAATGCTGGTGATTTGGACAACATTTGTACTTACCCAATGGAAATTCAAGAGGTAAGCATAAAACTATGTCAAGTTGAAAAATCAAACATTTGAAACAATTTCATTTTTAATTTTAAGATCATGCTAAAAGTGTTTTTTAATGTGGTTTTGCTTGGGGATATTTTTGACGATGAGAATTGTTTTCATCCACAGTTCGACCAAGGTGGACCTCTGCTGTGCAAATCTGACTCCTTGTGGTTCCAAGCAGCTGTTGTAACAATGAATGAAAGCACCTTTGCTCCTGAAAATGTTCAGGTCTTTGTGAGAATGTCAAGGTATCAGGCCTTTTTAAAGGACAGGGTTAGCAATATAGCGTTTCCTGAAAGAATTGTAAGAGGAACTTCACCAAGTTTTTCAACCTCCATTTTTATGTATTTTACTCTCCCTATTGCTCTAATATTCCTTTTAATGTAATCTGTTAAAGGGAACTAAAGCAGAAAATTGCTGAAAACAATTCTGAAGTTCTACACCTTAATTCTACCGTTTTCTGGAGGCACTTATGAGCAGCTTATTATGTTTTTGAGAAGAAATTATGTTTCTGTGAACATATAATTTAGGACAGAGATTTTTCTACAGAATTCACCCAAATAAATGAAAAACTAAAAAAACAAAAGCATCTTATTTCAAATTTTTCCTAAATTCTAGACAGATGGGTCCAAGGTGAACCAAATACAATGAGTACAAAAAAGGTTTTATTTCAGTTCTAAACTGTTAGCTCAGGTACATTTTATAATAAAATCTTAAACACAACAATTTGTCTATTGAAATGCAGATCAGCGACATGAAAGCACATATTTAGCTTTAAGTACATACTTTTATGTCTAACAATCACATTGTATGTTAAAAAAACAGTTTGAAGTGATGTAAACAAGGAATCATTTTTGTGTTGACCATCAGTAAATTTTTAAGTTGAGCTGAAAAAAGCCATTATACTAAGCCATCTTATTAACCAAAACATTTTTACTTCTCTCATTTTGGTCCCCGTAGACTCCAGTGCTCTCTCTTATTTGACCACCCAAACCTCAAGTGCGAATTAATACTCTATAGAACGACTGAAACTAGAGTTATGACATCAAATAAGACAACTACTGGTCACCTATGCAACAGTAATCATAACATTTTAACCTGAAAATAAAGGAATGTCGACCTTGTAAATGTTGGTGTGGATTAATGACTGATTTTACTAATGTGAGGGTCCTGAAAATGATCAGTAGTATATTATTTGCTATTAACAAGACTCATCCACAATACAAAATGCTCAATACGCTAAGCTTACAAAAAAAGCGCTAGGTAATGGCTTCTTGTACTGTTATTTCATAAACACACAAGCTGTTTGTCGGCTTTTCTGAAAAGAGGAAGAGTGGAAATTACTGCCATCGCAACTGACAGTGGGAAGATGGTTTGGTTATTTTTTCAAGTGTGAAACAACTTGACAAAACTTGAGGTTTTCATTGTTCAGTGGGTACACCTTCTTCAGTACCTGCTTCTGCTGCTTCACCACTTTGATTGACCATTTCAGTGTATTTGCTCTTAAAAAATCCAGCCTATACAAAAAGAGGTGAAAGTTCAATTTAGACATCTTGAAATCCCATGTTAAAAGTAAAAATGAAATATAAAGATTAATGAAAAGACTGAAAATATAGTGGAAAGTTGGGACTACTCATGCTTTGTTACATTTTGGACATTGATGTCACTGAAAACATTTTGCGTCTCACCTTATACAGACCAGCAGTGA